GCGTTTTGAATGTCTAGAATTGGGTACGAAAATGTTCCTTACAAAAATGGCAAAAGAAATATTGGGGTCATCTTCACTGACTTTTCCTAAAAAATCTGACGATGACCAGAGCTTTCAAGTGTCGGGTTTTCCCAAGATAGCGAATGCTTTGTTGATAACGCCGTTTAACCACAACTCCTGGTATACTGAAGGTTGCTTATCTCCTTCATGGAAACTCTGAACTCATAGCACCGAAGCAGCAGGAGTTGAAGGGTCTTCCTTAAGAAAGGTCTTGAACAATGAATTGCAATCAAGCAATGCGGCCGTAATTGCAATTAAGTTGTTTAAGCAAGTACTTGTACAGTTTACGACACGCATTTGTCATGCTACTTCATAGAATGTTCACTACGGTGACCGTGCAGTCACCAACCTTTACCCCATTTCCTTCCAATTATGACATGTCTAATGGGAAGGTCGACAGCTTACTATTATTTTTTTTACATCGGCTCATCCTGACAGAGTTCACGATTTTTGTGACAGCCTTTCGTTTGTGCATGTAAAGTCACGCCAGACTGCATTTAACCGTCTTTTTGCGGGTCGGGCCGCCACCGATGAAAGAAACGCGTTTATTTTCGCTGATCGTAGCGATTGAATTTACTATGTTTCTTTGAATTTCACTCCATTCTGAGATTCTTTTACATTTTTCGGCCGATTCTTTTTAAATACAGCTTCCCATCGACTTCGAACTGGATTTGATTCCTCAGCATCAAAGCCATCTTGGAATCGACCAAATATTAAACGCAATTGTTAATTTTGACACAGAGAACACAAATCAATGTGGCCAAAATCCTGGTAAAAGTCAGGATTTGGGGATAGGTTATATTAATTTCACCGGCACAGCTTCCCCCAACAGATTTTAGCAAGCGGCCCCCCTCACTGGTTTCCATCAGTTGCTCGGGCCGTGGAGCCGGGCCGGGCCGAGGCAAGCTTGGCCGGGCCAGCAGGTCCGCGGGTCGTCCTGGAATGCGTCCGGGCGGGCGGTGCCGGGCGGCCGGGCGGCGTTATTGATTGCGGGCCGGCGGCCGGCGCGGTCCGGCGCCCCCTGCAGCGGTGGAGCGGGCCGTGCCGGGCAGGGCCGAGGCCGCCGCCGCCACCGGCCCGGGGCGGGACCACCGAGCGCCTCGGCCGCCGGCCAAGACGGAACGCCGCATGGCGGGCCAGGCCGGTGACACGACGCCGCCGGTCCAGCGACGCGACACCGGCCGAGCAGCGTTCACGTCCGGTCACCATCGATCCCGGGCCGCAGGCGCTGACGGTGACCATCCGAAGCACGCGCCTCGCCGCCTCCACCAGCTGCCTGTTAATGAGGCGTGGGGTGAAGGTCCGTCCGTCGCCGCCCCGCCAGCCGGACCAGGTCGGGCGGCCGGCGGGCGGGCATGGTGGAGGGGGGGGGGGGGCGCACTGCGGGCATCGTCGGTCGGGGGCGCGCCGCGGCGGTTGGAGGCGGGCGCACCGGTGCCGACGGCCGGCAGTGCTGAGTCGGAGGTGGCCCGGAGCGGCATGACAGGCGAGACGGCAACATGAAGGCACTCTTCTCAAAGCTGCTGTGAGTGGGCGTGGCCGGCTCAAAGTCCGCTGGGGCGGTGTAGAGAATGTGTCGATTCCTTGTCCGCGGGGGCAGTGTGACTTTCCCATCAGGGTAGAGGGCAGCTCTGTGCTGTTATCGAGACGGATTTGGGCTCTGAAACGGCGTCCACCAGGGCTGAGGGCGGTTCTGTGTTGTCTGTCAGCAGAGTGATGGCGTGTCAGCAGAGACCGATACAGAGTGTGGCTCTGTGCTGTCCACCAGGACAGAGTGTGACTTTGCTTGCGGATGAACGCAGTGTGCCTATGTGCCCGCCGCGGACGGGGTGGTGGAGCTGGAGATTCTCAGCATTTTGGGATTTAAATCCCTGGGTAGGTGAACTGGCAGAGGGGTCAATTGTTTGGATTACCATTTTCCCTTAATTATTTACACCAGACGAGGATATGAGTCCGAAGCCATAATTCCGTCCATGACGCTAATACCTCGTCTCAATCTTTACGTAAAACTTTGAGTGGACTTGGTTTCGGGTTGAAGCGAATACATTTGGAAATATTCGAATCCTTGTATGGAAACCTCTAACTAATATAATGGGATAAAACGAGTACAGGTGACTAAGTCTGTTGCAGCACCAGCATTTACGTGTTCCATTTAATTCCCCGAAGAACATGTGAGCATGCATATTATTGGATATTTCTAATCATGTCTTTAAAAAGAGTTTGACGGCTTGTTGATTTTTGAAATTTGAATCCTGATTTTCGGTGTTGGAATCCTGGTTCTTAAGATCCAACGTTTTACGGAACTCCAATCTATTCTAGTCCATTTTCATCCTGCGAATCTTAATCCTCAGTCACAGCAGGAGGTGGCTCTGTCTTGTCGTTACAGTGCTGCCCTGTATTTTCCTTCAGGACAGAGTTTAGCTTTTTGTCGTTCGAAGCAGGGTGTGGCTCTTTGTCATCCATCAGTACAGAGCGCGTGCTCGTGTCTCGTAACAGAGTGTGACTATGGGTTGTTTATGAGAACAGAGTATGGCTCCATGTACTGTACATCAGGAGAGAGTCTGCCTCCCCATCCGCCGGGGCAGGACGTAGAGCTCAGGATAGCTCAGAGCACGTAGCGCTTGAGTGATGCCCTGCGTCCGTCGGGATACTTTTCCGGTGCTGTGTGCCCGGACAAAGTATGGCTCTGTGTCTGCTGGAATACATATGTCTCTGCTGTTCACTGTGCGAGGAAGTGCGGCCTCTGTCCACCGATGGTGGAACGTAGTCTTTGTGTACGTCGGTGGTGGGAGTTAAGAGCTGCGGGTCACGTGACTGTCACGTCACTGGGTCGTATCTGGTCTTCGGCAATGGAATGCGGTGGCGACTGGAAGAAGCACAGAGCTGCGCTGTCTCTGCGAAGTGGTTCGGATGGCCTCGGGCTCTGAAAAGTGAATGAGCAGGTCCATTACCTGGGATACGTTTACGGAGAGGAAATTGGTTGATATCGGACATGATACGAACAAGTCAGTTGCTTATTACTTATGAGCACTGCAATACGATACCCTTTTACACAACACGTCTCCATCCGCGAGCTCTGATTGTTTTTGTCGTCTCATTTCACTTGTGCAATGGCTCGACAGTGCCCATAGAAAGTACATTCCTGGCGCAGAATCGGTGGGGAGGGGGGGGGGGGGAGGGGTCGATAGCATCGAATGGCTGTGACCTATAAGGCGGGTCGTAGTGATAGTATCGGACGTATCGCGCTTGTACCGGCCGTGTTGTGTGCCAGCGAACAGACGTCAGGCGCTCAAAACATCACGATTGTTCCAAAAATCGGCTGGCAGCGGTATTGGCAGAACAAAAGTACTGGAAAACGTACTAAATGCGGTGTGAAAACGAACAAATGCAGACTATTCACGTCACAGTTCATACCGGACGAATTACTACCTTATTCGCTGGCTATACTGCACACCAACATCAGGAAATGAATGGCTTTATAAGGCTGTGAACTTATTACGAACTTCCATTACCCAGTCCGCTGGTTTCCAACAAACTGGCATATAGAGTATAACACACTGCTCAGAACCACTCAAAACTCTCCTAACCATGAACCGTCGCATACCAGCTACAGCGGACGAACTGGAGAGACTTTGCCTGAAAGAGGATATCGTTTATTTTAAATTTATGAGACCTACTCTTCATCTGGGCGCACCATATTGATGGTACTGATGCTAAGGACGCACTCCTGTGAGTTTCGACACCAATGTGCACCGGAAAATAGTCGCATTAAGTATAGTTATCACGAGGAAAACAGAATAGGCAACAGCTGAAACCGACATGGCATGTATCCGATGTGACATACTTGTGGCAACGTATGTCATATGACCATGTCGCACTATCGAGAATTGTAACATGTTCACTGTCCGTTGCACAAGCCACTTTTATGGAAGAGTGACTTGCGTAACGCACGAATAGTAGGAAGGGTGCGTCAAAACTGACGCCGCCAAAATCAAGCATTGTGACGTCACCAAACGGCCGTCGATCCGAGCGTCAGACGAAAGCTGGCCCGCCCTACAGCAAAGCTATGCGGCACAGCATAACACCTCTCCGTCGGAGGTTTCAGCCCGGTTTAATCAGCTCATCTGCGCGTCCACCAAGACTGCGGCGAGGTACAAAAGGCTCATGATCATGAGAGCGAAGAAAACACTGAGTTCTACCTCTAGCCTACTTACCGCGTATATGTTCTTGGTTAGGACATGCCAAAGTCTACCGAAACACGAACTAGTGTTACTAAACGTACCTTCCAGTGACTGATGGCTTCACCCTGCCCATGGGCCTTCGTAAAGTACTGGAACTACCTTCGTAAATTGTGTGGACCTGTCGCACCCCAGCATTACGGCGTTCTTTTGTCCATGACCCATCACCTGGCTGGCTCGCGAAGCTGCCGAGCGGGGCAGGTCATACGCCACATGTGCTGCGGTTGATGTAGTTTCGCTGACTATACTTTTACCTGTTTTTTTCATATGGGCGAATAAAGAGGTGGTGACTTTGAGACCGGAGTTTTTTTAAAGTTTAGTTTGCTGTAAAGACCCCTAGTTTTTTACCGCAGTGAGACTGATACCAGTAAAAGGGACTGGGAAGTTACCGGTCGGCTGTTGCTGGCGAATACTCTAGGGTGGTGTCTGGAACGCGAACTCACATAGTCTGTCACGCTGGGGGCCAGGTGTCCAGCACTTTACAAACTGAGCTACGGAGACAATGATTACGATTGAATTTGGCTGATTGAACAGCCGATGTGGTTGTTTCACTTTTCGTCATTTATCGACGCGTGCAACTGCTGAGGTGACTATTGCTTCAAACGCTTGTGGAAACCGGGCCAGTGGAAGTTTGGCGCGACGGAGATAGTGTACGTAACGTCTCCGTTTTACAGGCCGAACCCCACTGGGCCAAACGACAACATGGTCCACGCACCAATGAACAACGCCACTGGAATGCAGAGGTCTATGCCCAGGGTGAGTACACCAACCCTCTTTTGGATGAAGATCGGTGCCAGCAAACGTCTGGGTTCTTTGTGATACTTAAGTATGCTGACTGCTACGTGGATCATTTGGGTGTGGGCCGCAGCCGTACCAACGCGGCCACATCCTCACGCTTTTAGGCCAGATGCTTTCGTCGTGGGGTTCCGAGGGCTTCTCTGACCTGAAGTCTGCCAGTTGTTAGGAACCAAAGCAGACACACCGCTTCGTAAGAAGATGGCGACGCTGCAGCATGATGTGTCTCGCAGTGTAGAGCATGGGTGGATTTTCCGTGTTGTAAGCTATACCATAGTGCCAGTGGACCAAGCGCGATTGGTTGAAATGCATCACTACCTGTAGTATCCCAGCAATAGGCCACGTGGTGCGGCAAGAATATGACCGGTGGGGACAAACCGTGTTAACAGAACTTCTTCATGTGTAAATTTCTTGCAGCGAACATTGCAACGTAATGAGCAGCCAATATTGCAAGCATGAATTGGGAAGCATAATTGCTAAGCGTTAGTCATATTACTACGTAGGTTAAGATACGTACGTACGTGCGTATCGGATGTGGTACTCAGGTGTAATCAAGAGACTGTCGTCGATTGCCACAAGACGTAATCGCTGCCGTTCCATGACGTTCGTACATGTGCAAGTTATTTAGGATTACAGCACGGTAATAGGTGGGTCCGGAGTCTACAAACCAGGTCACGTTTGCAGTTGAACCTATGGTCACCATTATGTTAGGAGTTAGGAGTAATGTTGCAAGGGTTCCGACAAAACTCGCGATCGCTTCTCCTCAAAAAGATAGCGTAACCAAGTTACGTATATGCTGTCACGATATTCTTACCCTGCATTTATGCATGCTCTTCATTGAGGGACCTGATTTACGGCGATTGCGGTCTTTGCTGGATGAGGCCAAACAGGTTGAGGAGTGACACATATACGAGTCGTTGATGTTTCATCGGAATTTTGAATAAGACAGCGTACCTTTTTTATTATGGGATTACTTTTGCCAGAGATCAAAACCAACGTCAATATCAGGCACGATCACATTGGACGTCGGGAAAATATAACCAAATTGCGTATGCATTTCTCAGAATCTTGTCAGCAGTTCAAGAAAGCATTTCTTCATGCAGTGATGATTTGTGATAAAATAAACTACTGTCACACATGATCTGACGTGGCCATAACATATCACATAGCTAGGAGCTATTTAAATGAACTTCGAAGCGGCGTAGGTAGCTATTCTTGACTATTGGATTACACCAAATTTGTAAAGCAAATGTATATTATATATATTATATGTATGCATATCTATATATATATATATATATATATATATATATATATATCTATAAGCTGACTATTATTGGCTTCTGGTCCAACCCTTTACGCATATCCGACGCTGAAAATATGTCTTGAACCCGAGATATGTGGAAGTATTCTTCGTTTACCGGATAATCACTCTCTGTATGCATATCTTAACGCCACATATGGCCTGCAATATCGAACGTGATTGATTTATGCCGACATAAATTGCTAAGCCGTAGGCGAAATGTCTATAACAGCACGGAGACCTCCAGATATGAACATTAATATCGCGTTACAATGTCAGCCCTATATTTGGTCTGTAGTTCACGGCGTAATCAATAATGATACAATACACCAGTTGATGTGTGGTTGCGCAAGTACAACTTGAGATGAGCCTGAAAACAGTTTTTTTCTGACGTGAAAGCCTAACTTTCACCGCATTTTAGCAAGCCGTGACAAGGGCAGCAAAGCAAGCTATTGATCTGCCGCAAAATAGCACGAGGTCAGGGTAACCTGAACCTGTGGCAACAGCTTCATGCGACGTACTAAACCCGTTAGCACCATGGAATGGTTGTACAACGAGATAAATGCGATAAGGCGAATAACACAACTGATTCGGCGACTAGAATGGCACTCACAGCGTCACTTGAGTTAATGATGATGTGTGGTGAGTTAGTACAGCACGAGTTAGCACAGCACGGGTTACTACAGCTTCGTCAGACTAATCTCTCTTAACGTGTTATGGTGCTCTTTAGTGGTATTGCGAAATTCAAGCTGCTGATATCCATATTGTGGAATTTGCTGGCAAAGAACAGGCGTCCTCATTTTCCTCCCAAGCTGGTTTTAGAGGGCAGTGTTCGTCATAATGCATTAATATATGCTCCGACCACGCAGTGACGACATCCGCGTTGTAAAAACACGTTACACACTAAATTATGATGATATCATAAAAATAATTGTGGCTCAGACTTGTACGGACACAGAATTACAAGCATTCCTCTCTCAACACGCGCCCGGGCAGCCGGTTGACTCCACTTTGCTCCGGCGTGGGTCAGTCTGAACCCCCGCTGAGATCTCAAAAGCAAGAGAGCTAGAAACGCCAATTTACATGGTGGATTGTCCTCTATGTAAACTCACTGATTCTAAATGTGAAATTCCGAGGCCATTACCTTTCGGTTGAATAAAGCCAAACAAGTAAAACTTCAGATTAGTGTCCAAAGCGCTACCAGACGTCCTCATACACCAACCTGACACCTAGATACCTGTTCTAAGCAAAGATGACTGGTGTTAATTTACGGTTAGACATTGTTTGGCTTTTAGAAGGTTATAGTGACCAAAATCCTAGAAGATTGTTTGGATCTTTGCATTTAAATAAACATGAAGAATTACGCAAATAGGTAAAGTCCTAAAAACCAAATGTTAACTTGGATCATTTCAGGTCAGTGAACCTATTCTAACTTTAAACAAGTCATGGAGGACGTCAGCTGTAGTCCCTGTTCTTGCTAAATTCGACATGAGCACCAGAGACTACCCCACACAGTAAGCTTTGGAGTAAAAAGCCAGGTTGGTTTTGACCTCTGTTTGACTCTCGAATCTGACCCTACGTCAGCAGAATTTGTTGCCATCGTAAATTAAATTAGTTAATTGCCTAAGAAACAACCTCCTTAGAAACTGCATTCGTTGACAGCCTTGCTCGAAATTGCCTTCACTCGCACCTCACATATTCTGATGCAGCTGTATATCATGTCTGCAATGTCAGGGCGCAGTCGCAGACTGAAACCTGATTGGTTAAATCACGGGGTGCAACCAGACTGGTGAGCAACAACACTTTCGGCGGTAACGACAGTGGTGCGTGCCAACACTCGGACGTAAATCAAACCGACATTTGGGTGATATTTTGTATAGCCTTAATGACGCTTGCACTCGAGCTTGACAACACGAGTAGCTAGAAGTGTCAACAACGTTACAAAGTTTGAGCGTTCCGAGAACAACACATATTGCGCCTATTTCAAGATGCGTGCTGGCTGCCATCCAGGTATACAGTCTATGAAGATATTTGCGCGTGATTTAACGAATAGGCCATTTATCTGCCCCATACGATGCATTCATTGCTGCTAATTACCTGAGCGACATCGCCTGAAAAGATCAATGACACCTATGCTCTTACATGCCATTACATTCTCACTCAGCATTGGTTAAGCGCTAACTGATGCAAGATCATCAATGAAGCCTGAAGTCTATCTGGTGCCTTCTAACAGCATAAAAAACTCCTTCTCGCAAGTCCTATTTCACGTGCTTTATGACGCGATCTGACAGCATAAACAACTCCTTCTCGCAAGTCCTATTTCACGTGCTTTATGACGCGATCTGATCAGCTCGATCGTGACGAGCATGTAGGGGAGCCGCACGGCAGCCGCGCTGGCCACAGCGGCGGCTGAGTGACGCCAGCTGTGAGCCATGGCAACCGGGCGGGGGTCGGAGAGCTCCGGAGCTGGCGAGGCGCGCTGCAGCCGACCGCGGCCGCCTATCGACCCGGCCGCGGCGGCGGCCGGCGGCGCGCCGCCCCCATCTCTGGCGGCGGCGGCCCGCGGGGCGCCGGCGGCTCCGGAGGGCGCCGCAGCGTCCCGGCGGAGTCGTCAGCGCGCCGCCGGAGCCGCCGCCGCCGTCGCCACCGGCACCGGCGCCGGGCGCTGTTCAGCGCACGGCGTATTGATCAGGTGGGGGCGCGGCCGTGCTCCGGATCAGGGCTCCGGCGGGCCGCCTGTGTCGCACATCACCGGGACAACGGCTGGCTCCGCGCCGTGACCGCCGCTCCGTCCTCAGGCGGCACGTGCATGTCCCCAGCCGCCTGGCCTCCGGACGGAGCGCGGCGCGACCGGCGGCGCGGTCGGTCCCGCTCCCTGGACGCCCCGGGTTTGGCGCCTCTCACATCGCTGGACCGTGACCCACGTCGATGTTAGACGTAGGCAGCCACTGCAGCTTGGTGTTCCTCTCTGTCGCCATTCCCTTTAGAAGATGCCTGTGCTCCGAGACGTCTTGTCCATCCCAGGGTAAACCTGTGGTGCGTAGTCGCTGCATGGTTGTTCGCACCTCGCACACGCACTGGATGTTTCCACGACGCTGCTGAGAAGGGTTGCTGCGTGCCATTACTTGGAAGTGAAGGATGTTCCTATGCATTCCGTTTGCAGGAGAAAGGTTCTCGGCCGAATTGCTTCGTCGAACCGGGCCCAGTGTTCAACTGCTGGAGACGTTAAGTATATAGGTGTGAGAGCGCCATTACTGGAAAGCTGGTCGATCTCCATGAGTGCGGCGGTTGGCGGAAGTCTCCTCAGGTCCCGCGAATCCGAGTCCTCTCGCACCGAGCTATTCCCTAACGACGTCGTACCACGAACGGAGAGCGGCGTGGAGCACGCCCGTCCTGCCACCTCACGGGGGCAAAGTGGCGAGTTTACTGCCCGCACACAGCGGGCCTGCCGGAGACCCGCTGCCTCCCCGCCACTGACGCCACGCTCCGTCCTTTCAGTTCGGCCTGGCGGGCACGGGCGGCGCATTCGGGCCGGGCCAGGCCGGGCCGGGCGGCCAGTTCAGCCCGCGGCTGCCCAGCCCCCGTGCCGCCGGCGCAGGGGCCGTCTCGGGCGGCGCGCCGCGGCCGCCGCTACACGGGCCGCAGCCGTCGGCGTTCGCGCCGGTCACGCCGCAACTGGGCGGCCCGGCGCGCGCCGGGCCGGCCTCGCCGCGGCCCCCGCTGGCCGCCGGCCACGGGCCGGCTGCGGCGCCGCCGGGCTTGCAAGGCTTCCCGGCCGGCACGCAGGCTCTGCCGGCGACCGGCAGCCGCGGCTATCAGGAGGCCGGGGTCAACCCGCCGATGGCCGGCCAGGCCGGGTATCCGGGCTCGGCGGCCGGCTACCCAGCGGCGCCCGCCGCGCAGGGCTACCCACCGTCTGCCAGCCAGGGTTACCCGAACGCCAGCCAGGGGTACCCATCCACCAGTCAGGGCTACCCGGCCACCAGTCAGGGCTACCCAACTGTCGGCCAGGGTTACCCGGCCGCCAGCCAGGGCTACCCTGCTGCGTCAGCCCGCCTTCAACCCGCCGACCCTCCAGCCTCCCCACTGCCTCTCAGGGGAACGTGCACGCCACACAGGCGTTCCCGGCCACCTCTCAGGGGTTACTCGGCCACCTCGCAGGGCTATCCCGCCGCCTCGCAGGGCTACCCCACCGCCTCGCAAGGCTACCCCACTGCCTCTCAAGACCACCAGGCCAGCTCGCAGAGCTACCCTCCAAACCAGCAGGGCCACCCGATGGCCGCCGCGGACGGGTTCGCTGCGGCATCTCAGCCCTTCTCCGGTCCGACTGCCGCGTACCCTGGCGCGGCTCAGGGGTACCCGTACCCCGAGCCGTCTCAGGGCTACCCGGGGCAGACGCCACACGCTGGCTCTGCGTTCGGACCCAGCGCGCCTCTCAACGGACCCACGCACCACCAGCTCGGCAACAGCGGACAGCAGCTCCAGAGGCAGCAGCTGTCGCACGCTCAGCAAAACGAGAATATGCCTTAACCGAAATGTTCAGGTGAGGTTTGACGTCCAGCGGAGGGCGTTGGGGACAACAGAGGCGTTCGGGACAGCGGAGGGCGTTCGGGACGTTCGGGACGTTCGAGACAGCAGAGGTGTGTCAGGACATAGAGGGCGTTCGGGACAGCCATTTGGGACAGGCGGAGAGCGTTTGGGACGTTCGAGACAGCAGAGAACGTTCAGGACAGCGGGAGAGCGTTCGGGACAGCCGTTTTAGACAGCGGAGAGCGTCTGGAACGGCCGTAGTAAGGCGTTCGAGACAGCGGAGAGTGTTCGGGACAGCGGGGGCGCTCGGATCAGCTGAGAGCGTTTGGGACAGCGGAGGGCTTTTGGGACAGTGTGGGCGTGCGATGGCTTGTTCATTGGCGCTACATTTGGTCTGATCCGCATCAAATCACGGTGGTAAGGCCGCCTCTCAACCGGCATTTCAACGGCAGTGGCCATCGTGATTGCTTAACGTGCGATCGGGGGTCACGCCATCCGGATCGACAATGATAATCTGTTTACAATTGTTTCGGAATGACCCATGGGCGACTTAAACGCCACTTCTTGCTGTCATTCTGTCTTGTACTAGTGTCCTTGTTGCGTCGTGCTATTCTGCCAACCGTTTCTTTTCCTGTCAAGCGTCAGTAAAATTAAAACGTTGCTCATGGTTATTTTGCAATTTTGCACGTGCCATACACACAATAGTTGCAGGGGAAATTTTCACAACCATGCGGCCAAAGTCTCAAAACGTATGGCGGCAGGTGCAATAGGATTTTCATTTTTCCATTCTGCTCAGCTTAAGCCAGGTGATTTGCTAAACATCAACTGTTCCGCTGATGACCTATGCACTTACTTACTTCGATGGATCATTGCTGCATCGCTTGTGTCAAGAAGTATCTGATGTTATCACGTCATTGGGAACTGCACTTTGTATCGTTTCCTGTGTCTGTAGTAGAGTTCGTAGTGTCACTTATTCCGCTTTGTCATGAAGTTCACTATAGCAGTGCTATTTTATAGCTATATGTAACCTGCTACTACTACGGATACGTAAGATAAGTTTTCGTTGGTTGTTTGGGCATTAGCGAGGAGCATTATTCACATTGATAAGACAGTAGTATTGGCCTTATTCCTCGGAGAAACCAGGAGAATAGAGATGTAATTAGGTTGATATTTTGGCAACATGCCTTTATCGAAACAATAGCAGAAGTCAATCAACAACAATCATCTTCTGCTATTGTTTTGATACAGGAATGTCGCCGAAATATCAACCCTAACCATATCTCCATTCTTGTTGTTTTTCCGCCGAAAAAGGCTAATACTACTGTCTTAATTTTTTTAAAAAGTTTTCGTTGGTATCAAACTCAGGGCAATAGACGCGCTGCAATGACTTTTCTCACGGCTTTCGAACCTGGGCCAGCAAGAAAAGACTTAAACCTTGCCAGAAATATAGCTCTACGCATGCTGCTACTTAAGATTGAACCAGAACCATCTTTTGGAAAACACCCCAGCTCAAAATTCCGATCGCACCACATGAACCATTTCAGAATCTCCATCTACTGCGTCGTACCAAGCACCATTTCATGTTTCACCTCGAACTTTCACACTCCTTTATTTCGTCGTTAAATGACATCTATTGAGGCCCGATATTGCGCGGCGGCGGAGGTGGCCGCCGAATGGCTGGCTAGGGATCGGGTCGGCGCGCGCCGAATCAGCCCGGACTTACGTCGCGGTAATTCGTCCTCCGGTCCGGGAGGCCGCGATATTAACCGCCATAAATCGGCAGCCGACGGGACGGTGCTCTCTTGAGATCGGCGGCCGATGGACCGTGCTCTCTTGAGATCGGCGGCCGACGGGGACCGTGCTCTCTTGAGATCGGCGGCCGACGGAACCGTGCTCTCTTGAGATCGGCGGCCGACGGGACCGTGCTCTCTTGAGATCGGCGGCCGACGGAACCGTGCTCTCTTGAAATCGGCGGCCGGCGGGACCGTGCTCTCTTGAGATCGGCGGCCGACGGGACGGTGCTCTCTTGAGATCGGCGGCCGATGGGACCGTGCTCTCTTGAGATCGGCTGGCCGACGGGACCGTGGTCTCTTGAGATCGGCGGCCGACGGGACCGTGCTCTCTTGAGATCGGCGGCCGATGGGACCGTGCTCTCTTGAGATCGGCGGCCCGACGGGACCGTGCTCTCTTGAGATCGGCGGCGCTCGGAGCCAGCTCGAGAGCAGATGGTTGCGGTCCGGGAGGTCTCGCACATATCTCTGCGATTGTGGAGTACAGCCCTGGTCTCTGCGACTGCACGCTGCCGCTCTCTGGTTGCGTGCCTCTGGTTGGTGGCATCCTCCATTCGCACACATGCAGTAGAAGCTACTCTCTGGTTGGCACCGGCCTCCATGTGTACACATGCAGTAGGAGCTGCTCTCTGGTTGGCACCAGCCTCCAGGCGCACACATGCAGTAGGAGCTGCTCTCGGGTTGACGCCAGCCTCCAGGCGCACACATGCAGTAGAAGCTACTCTCTGGTTGACGCCAGCCTCCAGGCGTACACAAGCAGTAGAAGCTACTCTCTGGTTGACGCCAGCCTCCTGGCGCACACATGCAGTTGCAGCCACTCTCTGGTTGGCGCCAGCCTCCAGGCGCACACATGCAGTAGGAGCTGCTCTCGGGTTGGCGTCAGCATCCAGGTGCATGCATGCAGTAGGAGCTACTTTCTGGTTGGCCCCAGCCTCCAGGTGCATGCATGCAGTAAGAGCTGCCCTCTGGTTGGCGCCAGCCTCCAGGTGCATACACGCAGTAGGAGCTGCTCTGGGATACGAAACTGCAGTCGGAGGTGGCAAGCATAACGCTGAGCACAAAGCCGACATAAGGGCGTGCGACAGCGACCAGAGTCGACCTACAGGCACGCGACAGCGACCAGAGCCGGCCTATTGAAACATAGCAGCAGTCGGAGTGGAGTGCGACACATGCCTGTTGTCGGAGCTGGTCCCTGGACATTAAGCTGCCATCGGAGTCGGCCTATTGAAACATAGCAGCAGTCGGAGTGGAGTGCGACACATGCCTGTGGTCGGAGCTGGTCCCTGGATATTAAGCTGCCATCGGATCCGGCCTATTGAAACATAGCAACAGTCGGAATGGAGTGCGACACATGCCTGTGGTCGGAGCTGGTCCCTGGATATTAAGCTGCCATCGGATCCGGCCTATTGAAACATAGCAGCAGTCGGAGTGGAGTGCGACACATGCCTGTGGTCGGAGCTGGTCCCTGGATATTAAGCTGCCATCGGAGCCGGCCTATTGAAACATAGCAGCAGTCGGAGTGGAGTGCGACACATGCCTGTGGTCGGAGCTGGTCCCTGGACATTAAGCTGCCATCGGAGCCGGCCTATTGAAACATAGCAGCAGTCGGAGTGGAGTGCGAAACATGCCTGTGGTCGGAGCTGGTCCCTGGATATTAAGCTGCCATCGGAGCCGGCCTATTGAAACATAGCAGCAGTCGGAGTGGAGTGCGACACATGCCTGTGGGCGGAGCTGGTCCCTGGACATTAAGCTGCCATCGGAGCCGGCCTATTGAAACATAGTAGCAGTCGGAGTGGAGTGCGACACATGCCTGTGGTCGGAGCTGGTCCCTGGACATTAAGCTGCCATCGGAGTCGGCCTCTCGGGACATGGCGGCTGTCAGAGACGGTATCTGGGCAATGACTTGTCAGCGCCTTGTGCATGGGATCATAAAACGGTCGGAAGTCCGGTGGCGTGATATTTAATCATGAGCTAGCCTCGGACCTCATGGCTGTCGTAGGAACGGGCTTCTTGACACATGATAGCCTAGTGGTCTACCGACGTCAGGCGAAGACTTGTAGTGCCTATTCAGAGGATGTGCAGATCTCTGTTCACGCCAGGGGCAGACACATTTGCTAAGGTGGCGCAAGCATTGGAATTGATGATGGCGATCGTTATCTGCAATACTGATGCTGACAGTGTGGATTCATAACGGCAGAAATTGGTTTTAGTATTCCAGGATATTTTGGCAAGCACCAAAAACATCCAGAAGTCATTGTGTTAAAAGGAGCACATGGCGAAAACAATATATGATAATGAATATGTAACAACAAACGGAGCAACATAGCAGTAACAAGCCGTTTCCCATCTCTGCAAACACACGATGCACTAGCGGTGGAGAATTACCCTATTTATTCGTACGTCGTCCACACGCCGCCCTAATGCCGCATGCGCAGCCCAGCACCAAGGGCTGGTCGAGTCGCCGATGGTTACACCGCAAAACATGCTTTGCGAAATATCTTATTTTGATTATATTTATTATCTTATTTATGATACCATCTAACCCACAATTTGACAGGCATAATTTGGTTCGAGGTAATCAGAGAATCGGTTTAGACTGGGTGAACCATTGTGGTCTAGTTCTTTCTGATTATGCTCTGTGGTGTTCACTGAGACAGGCAGGAGCTTCTGTGACATACCTGTTTTTGTTTGTCAGATTTTATCTCTGCTTCATTTCATATATCATTGGTCCCTGGTCGCAGCGCTGGGCCTTTATTTAGTGTTAAAAATTCGAATCGTCACTCGTTGCAGGCAGGCAAAGGCGTAGCGATGCAGCAACGATCCGCGCTACACACAGCCTTCCCTACAGATCTGTGCACGACGATTTGTTTTCCTTTTTGTTTAAGAAACGTCGAAAACGATTTGTTCGTGTCGATTTGATTCAAAACTGACATAAAAACGAGCATAATAAGCACAAAACCTGCCCGCGAGCACCAGCGATCAGGCCGTTGGTTAACAAAACGTATGGTGGTGAGAGTTTTCTCCGCCATTTTGGAATGTGACTGACGCCATTTTGGAATGTGACTGACGCCATTTTGGAATGTGACTGACGCCAGTAGAAATTAACGTTCGTAAGTGACACGGCGAACGGCGTACGCAGTTAAGCGATCTTACTGAGCACGCATATTGGGCAAATCAATGCGAATGAAGAATATGGCTTTCTGAGTGGTGAGATAGGAGTCCGACGGCATTTCTCCAGTGCAGCAGGTACTTCAAATGACAATGTTGACTAATTCAAAAGATTGAAAAAACTGGTGTATCGACCAGGGGCGTAGTTTTACAAAATGAGCTGGTGAGGGGGGAAATGAACAGTGAAACATTACCTAACCCACCCCAAAGCATGCCAACAAAGGAGTTTCTCCTTAGAAGTGACTCTCTGATCTGAAGCCTCCCATCCCAACTTGATAGGACACTACATCCCTGTTATGGCCCAAATCAGTCGTATCTGATCTATGAGTAAAAGTTCAGAAAACGTGGCATGCTCCCAGCCATGTGCAACATTAAAGACTGTTGTTCCGTAATGTTCTTCATGAATCTTCCCACCTCGTGATTCCAGTGGCAGCTGTCGACACTCTGAACGTGGCAATGTACAAGATTAAAGAGTGTTGTTCCGTGATGTTCTTCATGAATTTTCCCCACTCGTGATCCCAGTGACAGGTGTTGATACTCTGAACGTGGCAATGTACAAGATTAAAGACTGCTGTTCTGTGATGTTCCTCATGAATCTTCCCCCCCCCCTCGTGATCCCAGTGACAGCTGTTGATTCTCTGAACGTAGCAATGTACAATATTAAAGACTGTTGTTCCGTGATGTTCTTCATGAATCTTTCCCCCTCGTGATCCCAGTGACCGCTGTTGACACTCTGAACGTGGCAATGTGCACAAAGCAAGGTGTAACGCCATGCAGAGCATTTTCATAAAGCTTTGATTCAATAGGTAACGACTGCCAAAATTGTGATCATGTAAAGAACCAACAAGGTCATGCGTAGCCCAGATCAAAACGCACGCAGCTCTGTACTGGAATTCCTTGCTGAGCATGGGATGACGACAGACAATATGCTGACCAGATACCTTGTGTGTGTGCGTTTACGCGTGCGTGTGTTGTGTTTAGCGGGACAAGGTTTTTCATATTCCACTCAGCCGAACTGCAACCACAATTATCCAGTTAAGATAAATGCAAACACTGCAGTGATAATTCACGGAGTAGTAGTAAGAAAATGATGGACGCCCAGTGTAGCCAGCCAGCCAGACCGGAAATAAATGACTGAAACGTGTTTTGGACAAACTGTGGAAACTAGTTTCTCCAGAGCGATCCAAGTATCTTCCGTGATTAATTCGCCTCTGCATCAAAGCACTGCCGAGCCAGCCAGCCACCAAGGTCAGCAACCAACCCGCCGCCTCACCTTTCCCAGGGCTTTCAAGCGTCGACGGCCGGTCGGCCGCCGCAGCCGCTGGGACCGCAGTTTGCCGCCCAGCAGCCGCAGCAGCTGCAGCTGGGCCCCTACCAGCGGGCCCAGGGCGTGGCCGATGCGGCGCACAGCATGGGGTCACCATACCCGGCCGGCCAGGCGGCGACCATGGCGGGCCAAGCACTGCCGACCTACCCGCCAGTCACCATGGCGCCGGGCATGCTGACGCAGGCGCCGCAGCACATGATGAACAGCGCCGGCCGGCCGCCGGCCAGCAGCGCCAGTCAGGGCCCGTCCATCAGCGGCATGCTGGCCGACTTCAGCCGCGCGCTCGGTCAGTACTGCTCACTCTGTGTACTGTGCCCAGTCAGCACAACCCGCTACGTCCGCCGCACCCGGTCAGTGTCTGCCGTGCTCGGTGAGAACGGCCCGCCCGATTTGCCACACGCGGTCCGTGCAGCCCGTTCCGTCCGTTGCACGCGGTCAGTACAGCCCGCCCTGTCTGCCCTACGCGGTCGGTGAGGCCCGCTCCGTCTGACGCATTCGGTCAGTAAAGCCCGCTCTGTCTGTCGTACGCGGTCATTGCAGCCTGTTCTGTCTGTCGTACGCGGTCAGTGAGGCCCGCTCTGTCCGTCTTACGCGGTCAGTGAGGCCCGCTCTGTCCGCCGCATCCGCCCAGTACAGGTCGCCATGTTTGCCACACTCGGTCAGTACAAACGGCTTAATGTTCCGAACTCTAGCGTGGGTTCTGTAAGAGCTAATATGGGCTTCTGTCCCCGTAATGGACACCAAATGACCGCTGGTGTTTGCACGCTCCACGACCGAATAACCGCTATTCCGCTACTGAAAATGTTTCTAGGTGTCTATCGGTGTCGGATACACTGTGTTTAGTGCCTCAAATATCTAAGCCATGCAGCAACACATTCAAAAAAGTTTATTTGAATAACTACGCGTGTTTCAAGGAACCTTCGAACATAACAAATAATTCACTTGCCTGGAAAATAAGGGCCCAAGCTTGAGAATAGACCTGTTCACGGTGACGTCTCAGTTAAAACGGTTCAAAAAAGGGAGAAGGGGGCGGGGCACAGAGGGCAGAAGCAGCATGCTCGAGCTGAATATCTGACTGCCTGAGTGATCCCTGCCCAATCCTCTCATCTCCGGATCACAGACCAAAGGGCGGGCACTTGTGTGAGGTGAATTCATACTAAAGTGCTGTCTTTGACGGCATTTCGGTTCACAGTAATGGCCTGCTCATATCCGCGGCACAAACTTATCACAATAAGTTACAATACCCACGAAATAGCGCTTTGCAACGATGACAGTACAGGAAGTCTTCTCGGATTTTATGCGAATTAAGCATGATAGACCCAAGGCATTTTGTGCCAAGCACTTCGCGTTAATGGACATTTCTGGCAGTGCATTACGGAAATGCTAAAGCGCTCTTAAGGGCGCCGTGCCCCGAAACACTCAGGACGGGGTTGAAAAACCTTGAAATGAATAAAATGCTATTACATTCTGCAAAGCCGACGTGGGGACGACGGCGACAACGTGATTTCAAAGGGTTCTTTTGAAACATTCAGGGTAAGTGGGCATTATGTGTGGAAAATCCTTGCAGTCAAATTACTTGCGCGTAACATACGATAGCAAACACCCGTGGTGACCGTAAGGAAAAACCGTACCTGTCTTGGAATCGCTATAGTTTATATTGGACGACAGGACGCATTTTACTCGGAAAGAAACGTCTGGGATTGTCTGGGAATGTTGTGTCCCGTAATGATGGGGTGCTGCCGTTATGAATGTCTTGGAACGCCGTGCCCTGTAATGATGGGGCGGTGCTGTTAAGTGATGTCTGGGAGCGTTGTGTCCTGTGATGACGGGGTGGTGCATCAAGACGGGGTGGTGCATCAAGTCAAAGTCGGTCACGGCCACGGAACAAGTTCTCTAGAAAGATCCCGATATGACTTTCCAGCTCACCAGGGGACGTATTCAAACCGGTGTTTACGTAAGGCACCGATAATGCCAGCATAGTAAACACACCTGGAAAGGAGCCTGCAGGCGGTATTATCATTTATTGATTATAAATCCCCACTAGAGACGTTATGGTTTGGCCAGGCCTGAATGCATGCTGTTATACCACTCCCTTACTCGTATCTGCTAGATGAGCCACAATTACCACACACAAAGAAGAATGAAAGCCCATAACGGCCCCCAGCTGCGGACCATAGAGGATCCGTGAGGTGCCATGAAGGAAAAGCATGCAGGGAAGGTTGGAGGGCATTGGATGATCAACGACAAATTGTCAGCCTTTACGCCTGGCGAACATATGAGGGCACTGACACTGCGTTCACCGCCAAGGTGAAAGACGCTTTGAACTTTGAATGAACTTCGTTCATTTTCCTTACAGAAAATGGACAAAGACGTTATGCTATTTCTACAAAAATGCAGTACCCTACTCACCCTTACCTAACAATTACTCCTGTCATTTGCGGCCTGCCGACCGACGCAGGCGGCGCTGTGTAATCTGTCGGGGCCCCGCCCTCCTCCATCTGGTCGGCTGTCGTCCCGCCCGAGCTGAGGCCGGTCGGCGGCCCGGCCCGGTCTGCCCGGCCGGCCCCGTCGCCGTCTCTACGCGCCGTCGGCGTCGGTCGATGCTGGGACCGTCAGTGGGCCGCGGTCCAATCGCCGCCCGCTTCGGGTCAGCAGCTGGCCGGGCCTGCGGGCCGTGGCCGCCGCCGGTCCTGCCGAGGCTCGCCACTCACGAGTTATTGCTGAGCTTAGTCGGAGGGCACAGGGCAACGACCGCGAAACACGCGTGGCGTAACAGCGACATTGCTGGGGTTTCGTATGGAGAGGTCTGAGGAGTGGACGCGTGTTGATGATGCTTGGTGGGTCAGAAATCGACACTTGCCACCGTGCGACCCCCCCCACCCCCCCCCCCCCCCCCCCCCCCCGCCTCCCTTACCGGCGTTCGTCGAGTGTCTCTGACGCCATTTAGCGCTGGGAGGCAGGGCCCTGCATCCGATGCATCTTCGATCGCCAGCAGACGCTGCTGGTGTCGTGTCCGCCGCCACCTCCTGCTGGTAACGACACTCATCAATTAGCACCCGGCTGTGGCAAGGCCCTCCCGTCACCCATCATTCCGCCACACCACTGACTTATGTCGGGATGCATGTCAACCACCCCGTCCTTTCTGCCAGGGCTGCAGACAAACCCGTCGGGTGGAAAGCGGTGTTGGGCAGAGTTGTCAGTTTTGCTGTCAGACAGCTGCCTTTAAATACGAGTCATCCAACTCCATTTTCTCTCTCTCTCTCTCTCTCTCTCTCTCTCTCTCTCTCTCTCTCTCTCTCTCTCTCTCTATCTATCTCTCTCTCTCTCTCTCTCTCTCTCTCTCTCTCTCTCTCTCCTCTACTCTCTCTCTCTCTCTCTCTTTCTCTTCTCTCTCTCTCTCTCTCTATCTCTTCTCTCTCTCTCTCTCTCTCTCTCTCTCTCTCTCTCTCTCTTTCTTTCGTTCTCCCTCTCTTCCTCTCCCGCTCCTCTCCTCTCTCTCTTTTGGCTTGGAAATGGGGCTCACCTCTCGCCAACCCGACTGCAACTGGCTATCGATTGCGGACGGTCCTATTATGCCAGTGGGCGCCTCCGTCCGCTGTCGCTGGGTGGGACGGTGTCGGGTCCGGCCGACGTGGGCCGGCGGACGGCGTTGGATCGGGCAAGACAGGCCAGGACAGGGGGCGGGCGGACGGCGCTGGATCGGGCAGGACAGGCTGGGCAGGGAGCGGACGGACGGCGCTGGATCGGGTAAGACAGGCTGGGCAGGGGGCTGGCGGACGGCGCTGGATCGGGCAGGACAGGCTGGGGCAGGTAGCGGACGAACGGCGTTGGATCGGACAAGACAGGCTGGGCAGGGGGCTGGCGGACGGCGCTGGATCGGGCAGGACAGGCTGGGGCAGGTAGCGGACGAACGGCGTTGGATCGGACAAGACAGGCTGGGCAGGGGGCTGGCGGACGGCGCTGGATCGGGCAGAACAGGCCGGGGCAGGAGGTTGGCGGACGGCGCTGGATCGGGCAGAACGGGCCGGGGCAGGAGGCGGGCAGACGGCGCTGGATCGGACGGCGCTGTTTGTCAGCGGCGGGTGCCGCCGGTCTTTGGCACGGCTGGCCGTGACGGGGAGGGAGGTCCAAAAGAACCTTCCGACTGCTGTTTACTTCTCGAAGAGTTTGCGAACCGCCCCCAGAGTCTATTGGTCTTTTGCTTCCAGAGTTTGCCCTTCCTTTCGGTTATAATAACTTGGGTCGGACAGAATACGAAGCTCTCGTTAACTTAATACGGGATTTGGGGGCAATGGTCCCGCGGTTTTTTAAAACTAGAGGTGCTCAAGTTGTCCCTGTGTTGTTTTTTATTTTCCTTTATATCTCATACCCAGGAACTTCAACCCATTCTTGATTAGATCTTGGATCGAAGTCTGGCCTTGGCTTTGTACTACATAGATAATGCCAAATAGCATGACTATGAAATGACCATATAACATGACTACCTCTGCTATGCGACATGATAAGCAAAAGTACATCTAAACAGTGGTGACAATACATAACCTGTACGATAAAAATGTCAACTTTCGAAGTTTTGAAAACGATCCGCAACGGGTTCTCATCCATGCAGTACAAATAATCTCATTTATTCAACATCTCATGAGAATTATTCAAAATTACCTATCAGTGAGGCTGATTAACCACGCATAACTTTCGTTCCTGCTTCTACTGTCAGGTCACAGTGGTCCCCTTTTGACTTCTACTCATGAACTTAACCCTCCGGTGTTTAGCCATGGGGACACCGCTGGCATTCCATTGTGTCACACTTCAGCGACTTGAACCGTGACCTCCCACGCACGTGGTCACAATATTCACGACGCGGCGCCTCACCTCGTCCCTGCCTCCCGCCTTTCCATCAGTTTCCACGCGCGCCTGATCGAGCCGCTGTTCGTCTTCCCCTGACGTCCCCCCCCCCCCCCTTCTTCCTCGGCAGGTCTGGGCGGCCAGGGCGGGCGGCCCGAGGATAAGACGGCGCGAGCGGCGGCCGCGCCGCAGCCGGCCGGCTACCCGCGCCCGGCGCCGGGCTACCCGCGACCGGCGGCGCCACACGGAGCGCCGCCGCCGGCTGACCCAGCGCTCATGGACCCGGCCTACGGCCACCCGACCGGCCTGACGCCCGAGCAGATCATGTACCACCAGCAGATGGCCGCCCACCATCAGGCGCAGCACCTCCGCAAGCAGCGGCTGCTGCAGCAGGGCCAGCAGCCGGCGGCGCGTCAGTACCAGGCGGTGCCCACCGCTTCACTGCTGCCGGGCTCCACCGTCACAGGTGGGCGCAGGCGGCAGCGCAGCCGGCTGGGTCAGCCTGAGGGGGGGGGGGGAGGCGGCCGGCTGGGTCAGCCGAGGATGTGTCGGGGCTGGGTTGGTCAGGGATGGGTCGGGGAGGATTGGGAGCAGCTGGGGTCGTGCGTGCTGGAGGACATGGGCACTGCTGGGTTAGGAAGAGGGAGCTCTTGTCAGACGGGTGGCCTTGGACCGCCTCCGAATAAAAAGCATTGAGCGGACTTCCTCGTAAAGGGATAACATGCGACGTCTGCTAGAGGTGGAGTGTGTCGACAGGGTTGACGGTGGGTTCAGTGGGCATGCCGTCATTGACGTTGCTGAACCGCGACTGGATGCCTCGGCACCGCGGACGACGAACCGCGTCGGTGTTTGTCTCCATGGGTACCATCCGATTGCCCTAATTAATTTATGCTCGCATGCAGACGTTACGACTGAACACAGAATGCTGCTTTGAATGACGAGCTATTTCGAACCGTGCTGATGCACCACTGGCAATCCATCCTGAAGTCCGGTTTCTGAGTGGCCCGTCTGTGACTGTCGAACACTGCACCGCACGATAGACGTGGCGCGATGCAGCGTTCGTCCAAAGGTTCAAATAGTTTTTGTTTTGCGGAAATTGGCATTGAATCTGTTAACTTCACATATACCTGCTCCACCTACATCTTCTCTGAGCTTCACGCGCACTTCCACCGTACTATTTCATAATTGTCCAGCAATTTACATTCTGCGTGAAGTGAAGCAACCATTTCTTCCTCTTCAGCGAGTGCTCAGATGAAGTCAACCACGCCTATCGTCCTGGTGGCCAATCAGACGCCTGCAGTCATGGCAACGCAGATGACGTCACACGTCGATCCACTAGTGAGGTAAATTAGGGCCGGCTCCGGCCCCTGGTTTTAACCAGCGCAGGCCGGCAGCAGCCCGAGCCCGCCCACTCCGCGTGGGTGACAGTGCGTGCTGGCCCGCGGGCGGCCCAAGATAGACCGGCGCTCAGACGGTACTCAGCCACGCTAGAGCTCCTCCTTCAGATAGACCCGGCTTATTTCCAGATGCGCTGCGATTGGAGGAGTCCAGTTCGGTGAGATCAAATATGATCTCATTCTTACGCAGCGGTGTTTTTTGTTCTAAATGATACGCAAAGGTCATGACTGTCCGTTCGCAATTTAGACTGTTTAAGTCGTTAGACTAAAATGTTATGTATTCTCATCGGCATACTACATCACGGACAAATATGTTCTTTAGGGAATAAACTAAAATATGGTGTAGTCAGGCCTGGCCACTGGCACCAGCTCATCACAATAGCTTGGACCTGCTAACATTTCGAATCATATATGCTATTGAATGCTAACCCTTTTACGGAACAGATAAGTTACTTCAAGGTTTCATGGTGTCCTCCCATTGGTTGCCACATTCTATTACGATAACATATAACTCAGAAACAGGCTAATCTTCCCAACGTTTTCATGGAATTGCACGGCGACAAATGAAACGGCAAGGCGCTGTCAAACGCGCACAGCACACAAATACTTGGTGCCAAGCTTCGGCATTCTATGATTTACGGTGTTGTTTTATTTGCAGGCGCCATCCAATAACTGGGGACCTACTCTACACCAGCCCGGTGTTCATACAAGGTGTGTGGTGCCGCTACAGCGGCGGTGCGTCTCGTATGGATCCCAGCGAAGGATTGCGACCGGATATCTAATGCAGGGCTGCAGTTGATTATGCAAATTTGTTCGACCATGATAATAATGTTGTGCTGTTGAAACTGCGCGATAGTCGTCGATAATCGCATTGTGCGGAACAATGGCGCCGAGCCGTTTCCGGAGCGAACTGAGCGCGTGCCGCTCCTCGTCATCAGGCAGTGCGTGATGACGAGACCCCCAGCATGTGGTCTCTGATCAGAGTCGCGCCTGACAGCCCGTCCCCTCGACGAGCTCAACCACCTCTCATCCGGTCCCGCCGATCCGCCGGTCGGTCAGGGAGACCACTCCCGTGACGGAGCCGGCCGTCCCGCCCGCGGCGACCACTCCCATGACGGAGCCGGCCGTCCCGCCCGCGGCGACCACTCCCGTGACGGAGCCGGCCGTCCCGCCCGCGAAGACCACTCCCGTGACGGAGCCGGCCGTCCCGCCCGCGGAGACCACTCCCGTGACGGAGCCGGCCGTCCCGCCCGCGAAGACCACTCCCGTGACGGAGCCGGCCGTCCCGCCCGCGGAGACCACTCCCGTGACGGAGCCGGCCGTCCCGCCCGCGAAGACCACTCCGATGACGGAGCCTGTCGACGCTAGACTCCCCGCCTCCTCGCCCGGCCTGACGCTCACTGCTCGCGCTCTCCCCGCAGGCACTCCGGTAGGCACTCCGGTGACGCCGGCCGGCACTCCGCGTGGCCTGCGCGATGACTCGTCAGACACGATGAGCGAGACCGACAGCCAGAAGTCGCTGCGCATCCGACGCAAGCTGCCCTACCTACCCATGGACCAGGAAGCGGCGCCGCTCCCCATGGCTCGCAAACGTGACAAGCACAAACTGCTCACCAAACGGTGAGAGTGGGCATGGTATCGAGCGGGCAGAGGGAGGCATCGATGCACGCACAGCTATCGGAGCGGCGAAGAGTTGCACGGGTTCGAACCGGCTTTTGTGTGCTCGCACGTCTTTAGAAATACTAAAACCATATCACTTTACTTTGTCTTGAAGCTTGACGCAGAACAAAATTTGCATTTTCGAAGGGATTTAAATAATTCTGGATACAGATAATTGGGCCTGATTAGGCAGATATATAATCTACTTGGCTTGGACCTCTAATCAACGCCTTTTACTGCTCAGCTCATGGTTACTTCTTGCTACCGTTATGTGTTATACCTTGAGTTTGGCGTCCCTGTCCCCATTTCCACTACCCGGCGAGCGGAGCCTCGGGGGCTGAGTGCCGCCCTCTTTTGTACTGCCGCGGGGGGCCGGGTACCGTCCTCGTTTGTACTACCACGGGGGCTGTGTGCCACCCTCGTTCGAACTACCGCTGGGGCTGTGTGCCGCCCTCGTTTGTACTGCCGCTGGGGCTGTGTGTCGCCCTCGTTTGTACTGCCGCGAGGGCTGAGTGCCGCCCTTGTTTGTACTGGCGCGGGGGCTGTGTGCCACCATCGTTCATACTGCCGCTGGGGCTGTGTGCCGCCCTCGTTTGTACCGCCGCGGGGGCTGTGTGCCGCCCTCGTCTGTACTGCCGCTGGGGCTGTGTGCCGCCCTCGTTTGTACTATCACGGGGGCTGTGTGCCACCCTCGTTTGTACTGCCGCTGGGGCTGTGTGCCGCCCTCGTTTTTACTGTCGCGGGGGCTGGGTGCCGTCCTCGTTTGTACTGCCGCGGGGGCTGTGTGCCGTCCTCGTTTTACTACCTCGGGCGACCGACCGCTGTCCACGGACTCGGCGGCCAAGCACTATCACTCGAAGCGACTTAGGCATCGGCTATCTTTAGCGCTTCGCCGAGGACGAATTTCTTGACCTGCAGCGGTCGCTGCCAGGGGCAGAGATTGAGCATTGAGCTCGGCTGGAGTGGAAGTGAGAGTGAGGTAGCTGTGCAGAGTGTCAGAGTATCTGCGGCACCGTACGGTGCCTAGCTTGGACGCAAGACTATTCTTATGGCTGATAGTTAGGCTGCGCTAGCTGCGTATATAAAGTTCGCCTGCGACAAAGTTGGTGGCCGAACTGAAAGTCGATGGCTCCTCAGGGCTCTTCCGCCAACTGAATAGAAACTTGAGCGCCATAAGTTGGCATTGTTAACGCTCCAGCCGCGCCTGGCGCCCGTTCCCGCTTGGCAGTCTGCAGTGTTCAGAGGCGGCGCCAGACACCGTCCCGATGGCGGCGAGATGTGTTACAGCCTGTGGCGTTCAGAGTCGTCGCCAGACACCGCCCCGATGGCGGCGAGATGTGTTACAGCCTGTGGTGTTCAAAGGTGACGCCATCTGCCGCTTCTGTAGTGTTCAGGATCAGGGTCAAACGCCATTTTGAAGGTAATGAGGTGCGACTTATTTAGGTGTGTTGGCTACACTGCGGGCCGAGCACCTTATCGACTACCAACCACCATGTGCCCGCCAGGCAGCCAGCCAGTGGTCTGTTGTCCCAATGGCTATTTTTCCATTCGGTTTTAATGAGACGCTACAATTAATCCAGTGGAAGATTTTGTATGGACGCATTGTCTTGCACTGCATTCATGTAGGTGCGATCTGTTTTAACTCTTCTTGTTCAAGAGCCACAACACGACCAGCAACACGAGAGTACAAGCTGGAAAGCCTGTGGCCTATTAAAGGACTGATGTGCCCAGAAATGATGCTATGCTTACTTAGTAAGACAGGGCTTACGGGCATACATGGTTTATAGGAAATTACACATTTCCCATTAACATCCCGTTCCGACAAGCTAGGCACGTTGCTTCATACGTCTACAATTTAATAGGAATCGCAGATCTTTCTGCTTGGTATCTTTCGACACAAAGCACGCCATGCACACACACACACACACACACACACACATACACACACACACGTATATATATATATATATATATATATATATATATATATGTATTTATTCCTTTCATTGCCCTTGAATGACACGCATCTACTCTCTTAAAGCTTAAGCCTGGCAGCAAAAACAAACCATAGTTTATTTTCGTGAAGAAGCACCGCAACGCCCATCCGGACAGACACAGGCACACAAATGCGTGGCAATGAGACACACCACATTGGCCGGTCTAAATGAGGTCTGGACTTCCGAAACTGCAGTGCCCCTTGTGCCCATGTCTAACGCTAATAAAAAGAGCAATGGGTCCACCGCTGTTTTTGATTGCGGCAGGCTTGGCGTGTAAATGGAACAATGGCCTACTTCATGACAAAAGAATGTCGTGCCGCACGCCATGGTGTACCGGCCGCTCGGTATATCGACTGATGATGGTCGGCACACAGGGCTCCGCGCCCAACGCGCGGCTGCTGGTGAATGGGACAGCGTGACCGCCCGCTCCCTGCGCGGCGTAACTGTCCACTCCCTGAAAGGCGTGACCGCCCACTCCCCGCACGGCGTGACCACCTACTCCCTGCACGGCGTGACCACCTTCCCTGCACGGCGCGACCGTTCACTTCCCGTACTCCGTGACCGCCCACTCCATGCACGGCGTGACCACCCACTCCCTGTGCGGCGTGACCGCCCACTCCCTGAACGGCTAGACCACCTACTTCCTGCACGGCGTGACCACCCACTCCCCGTGCGGCGTGACCGCCCACTCCTCGCACGGCGGACATACTCAAGCACCGCATAAAGCGGATTGACTACGCCTCGGGCCACTGATCAAAGTGGCACGTGCCCCTGTGGGATTCGTCTTGCAGCACCAGCCAGTGGCACCACGGAACGGGGGGATGGGGATGGGGATGGGGCACAGGGTACACGTGCCCCCCCCCCCCCCCTACAGGCCTCGAGGGCCCAAAGGGCCTGAATGGCTGGATGGAGGTCGTATTAAGGGGCGCGGTCCGCAGGGCCGTGACCTCAAATGCTAATCATCGGGCCCTTCGCGCCGACTGGGGCCCCTGGGTCGATGAGGGCCTCCATGTCGATCTGGCATCACCAGTAACGAATAGTCGGCTCCGTTTTGCAGCCTGAGGACCCATTTCTCCAGCAGGGAAAAAGTCAGGGCCCGCGATTTACATTGGTCGGGCCGACATTGCATAGCAGGAGGCTGGCAGCAGGACTGGATTGGCAAGTGACCCCGAGTCGACCAGGGGCCGTGTTCGAGTCATTTAAAGGGGGCCCGAGGAGGGCTCCAAAGGTACCTTCGAGACCAAATGTCGAGGGCCCGATTGGAAGGCTGGAGGACCTAAAGGGCCGAAAGGCCGACTGTAGGTCATATAAGGGCCCTCGTTAAGGCGCCGGCCTGAGGCACCTGTAGAGCACCTGCCTTTAGGGCCGGCATGGAGGGCCGGTGCCTCAAATGCCAGTCAGAGGGTATCTTGCACAGACTTGCAAGACACTTGCATCTTACCATGTTTAAGTAAGATTTGGCCTCCTTTGGATATACAATCGATGTTCATGCGGTGCTCAATACCTCTATAGAACCAGGAAAAAGCTGGCAAAGCCTCTGAGTTCTACGATTTCAGAAAGCATCAGCTAAACCGTTTAAAATGAACAGCGCCGGTGACTAATTTCATGCAGCCATTTACGTTGCCTTCCTTCAGCTAGCTGAATACAAAATACAGAGTTGCAGCTTCCAGTGGCTTCTGGCTTACGTTCCAGTTCAAGAAGGCAAAAATAAACATTTAACGAAGAAAATCGCGTCAGCTCTAGATCAAGTGGGCTGTATGCGGTTTTTTTTGGGGGGGGGGCACCTCTCGTCATCAGAAGGCTCTTTGTCAGCCCTGTGGCCATGCCTTACCAAGGCTCCGGCTGCGTGCCTGGCATCGGCCCACGTGGCGGCTGCTGACCTTTCACCTCCACCTGCAAGCTACCGGAAGTCATCGTCATCACCGTTCAGACGGAGTTTGGCGATCGTCGCCGAACGCGCGCCTTTTCCCGGCGTCATCCGCGTGGGATGTGCTCCCACGCTCGGGTATTAGCGTCGCTGTAAGGTCTTCTGACGTAGGCGTCCTGAAGATGCCGGGAATAACCTCAACTGCAGCCACCATCTATTCTGTCATCAGGGATGTTTCTGCCACTCATCTGATCACTAAGGGAAGACCTCGGCATAGAATGGTGACATGGACAGTGACCCCATCGAATTTCATGTGGTTCACCATTGATCGCTTGTACACCCGTTCTCGCAATGCATCGTACTTGCACGAGATGGAACCGGGAACCGCACTCCGCGACTCGAAATCCGTCACGCATGGCAACGCCTTCACGGGCGCGTCCGGCTATCCAGCTGGTCAACCTGCACCGACATGACAACGAAATGATACCAGTCTGAACAATCAAACTGGTATCATTCTGACGCCACCAACACTGGCGCTCAACACGGCAATCAGACGCCACCAACGCTGGCGTTTGACCCCGCCTCGTCTGAGACGCCCGCATCCCTCGCTGACCTGGCGCTCGCTCCTGCCGGCAGGGGTCACGCGGGTCTGCACCGGCAAACGTCGCTGGACAGTGCCGACCTGCGGGAGCCGACCTCGTTGAACAGCCTGGCGCTGGCGCGGCCCAGCACCAGCATGACCAACCTGGCGGCGGCGGCCAAGACGCCGCTGCCCGAGCTGCCGGCGCGCCCCGGCTCCGCGCTGGGCATCATGAGCGAGACAAACCGGCTGGCCACGCTGGGTGAGACAGTCGCCGCAAGCGCGCGGACTCTGCGCTCCGCATGTGTGGAGAGGGTTGGGATAGGGAAGGGGATGCTATGTCGGGATGTGTGTGGGCGCGTGCATGCAGAACCGGCTCTGGGTCGGTGCTGTCTGTACGGGGCTGGTTATAGACCGGTTCTGCAGTGTAGAGCCGGCTCTGGGTCGGTGCTGTCTGTACGGGGCCGGTTATAGACCGGTTCTGCAGTATAGAGCCGGCTCTGGGTCGGTGCTGTCGGTACGAGGCTGGTTATAAGACCGGTTCTGCAGTGTAGAGTCGGCTCTGGGTCGGTGCTGTCTGTACGGGGCCGGTTATGGACCGGTTCTGCAGTACAGAGCCGGCTCTGGGTCGGTGCTGTCTGTACGGGGCCGGTTATAGACCGGTTCTGCAGTGTAGAGCCGGCTCTGGGTCGGTGCTGTCTGTACGGGGCCGGTTATAGACCGGTTCTGCAGTGCAGAGTCGGCTCTGGGTCGGTGCTGTCGGTGCGGGGCCGGTTATAGACCGGTTCTGCAGTGTAGAGCCGGCTCTGGGTCGGTGCTGTCGGTACAGGGCCGGTTATAGACCGGTTCTGCAGTATAGAGCCGGCTCTGGGTCGGTGCTGTCGGTGCGGGGCTGGTTATAGACCGGTTCTACAGTGTAGAGCCGGCTCTGGGTCGGTGCTGTCTGTACGGGCCGGTTAAAGGCCAGTTTTGCAGGGCAGAGTCGGCTCCACGTCGCGGCTGTGTTTGGAGAACGGAGAACTGCTGGGAGTGGCTGACCCCGTGACCTTTCACCGGGCGGTCCCTGAGGGAGGGGGGCCGCGAGCCCGGCGGCCATATCGCTGTCAGGTCAGGCCGCAGGTGGCTCATTCCGGCCTCGAGCTCCGGCGGTCGGGGTCCGCTGTTTCGGCCGGCCGTCCGTCGCTGATAAGAGTGGTGAGACGCAGCGAACGCGACCGTGGGAGCGTGCTGACCCGCCGGGCCAGGCGGAAACCGCACCGGCCCGCTGAGAGCGGCGCGGGTCCGGAGCCAACGCGGCCGCCGCAGGCTCGTTTGTGAGCTCCAACTGTGGCCCGTCACGCACTGCCACACATATACGGAGAGACACGGCCGGATGTTGGATGGGTGGGAAATCTATTGTGCGGGGCTCGTGCTCTGAATTTGCCGAGGCTCCAGGGGAATGGCTCTCGCCAGCGAATGGGAGAGCGAATGAGTTGCGAGTTTGTATGCTATTTGGTGTAATAAACAATTGGTCTACAGCGTCGGCCCGAATGACAAAAGCCATGCCTGTGAGACAATTGAAAGCTTGCTGCTCTGGTCCCCTCCCACCAATGGTCCGCTTTCATGCCCCCAAAATGCATAATGCTCGTGGGAAAGCGACTTCTCGACGACCGCATCACAACTCCCGACAAGCGCTCCCCTTCGACCGTGGCTTGGTAGCCTGCCGTTCCTTTATGCCGGGGCTCATTGAGCTCGTCTGCCACAGAGGCGGCACGCGACAACCTGAACGCCAGCATCGCATCAGTGCTGCCGCCGGACCTGCAGCACCTGGTGTACAGCAAGCCGGGCGTGTCGTCTTCCTTCTCAGAAACATTTGCCAACCAGGTAAGGACCGGCGCGTCCGCCGCCCCACCCACCGTCGCCGGGCCCCCGCCCACACCCAGCCATGATGTACACAGGCCCGCGCCATTCGGCCACACCAAAGCGAGCCATTCGTTTCGCCCGCGAGTCGTTGAGTGTCGACGCCGGCGTCGACGTCAACGATAACCCTATCGCGGGGCGTCTATTTCCGCCGAAGCCCGCCGCGGCGTTGTATCGACTGCTGTGACGGCGGGCGCCGCCAGGGCTGTCGGTGTGGGTGCCACCGAGGCGGCCGCCAATCAGCAGCGCCGCCTCCGTTGCAGCTGACGTACGCCAACAGTCTGAAAAACGAGCTGCGCACGGCCTCCGACGACAAGCGGCGCCTGCTGGAGGCCGAGCTGTCTGCGCTGAACGAGGAGCGGCGGCGCACGCTGCGCCAGACCAACCTGTCGCCGGCCACGCGGCAGCGGTGAGCGCCGGAGCTGGCGTCTCCCGCAGACAGCGGGCCGTGTGCTGATCACCGATGGCGGGCCGCCGCGAGCTGATCACCGATGGCGGGCCGCCGCGAGCTGATCACCGATGGCGGGCCGCCGCGCGCTGATCACCGATGGCGGGCCGTCGCGTGTTCATCACCGATGGCGAGCCGTTGCGTGTTGATCACCGATGGCGGGCCACCGCGCGCTGATCACCGATGGCGGGCCGTCGCGTGCTGATCACCGATGGCGGGTTGCCGCGCTTTGGACCACGGCCGCCATTGCCGGGGCTGGGTGGGGCTTGGAGCAGGCGGTGGGGCGACAGCCGCCGCCGCTGACACACAGCGTTACACTGTAACTCGCTTGACTCAATCAGCGCGGCACTGGGCCGCGGCGGCGGCTGGATGCTGTCGGCCGACGCCAATCGGCGTCAGATAACTCATTCGATAAGCTCGGCCGACACGGCGCGGCCGGCCGGGCCGCTATCGGCCGGTGGCGCGCGCGGCACTCGCTCGCTCTCAGCGGCGACCCATTACGGCCAGATGCCGGCGGCGCGCTGATTTACCGCCGCGCCGCCGACAGGATCGAGCAGCGCATGGGCCTGACCTCGTTCAGCCCGACGTTGCGCCGCCGCCGGTTCCCGGTCGGCCGCCGCCACCTCAGCGACCCCAAGCTGTTCAGCGCGTCGGTCTCCCCGATCCGCGAGGACGAGGACCTGCTGGCGGTACGTGGTCTCGCCATCATCTTAGAGACTTGGACACACCCACACGCACACGCACACACACGCACACACACATACACCCATGCACACCCGCACCCGCACACGCGCACATGCAAAAAAGGAACACGCACAGCACGCACACGAACACGCATCCTACACGCGAACCGCACATCCACCACATGCATCTCATCTCTCTCTCTCTCTTCTCTCTCTCTCTCTCTCTTATCTCTCTCTCTCTTCTCTCTCTCTCTCTCTCTCTCTCTTCTCTCTTCTCTCTCTCTCTCTCTCTCTCTCTCCTCTCCTCTCTATCTCTCTCTCTCTCTCTCTCTCTATCTCTCTCTCTCTCTCTTCTTTCTCTTCTTCTTCTCTCTCCCTCTCTATGTCTCTCTCTCTTCTTTCTCTCTCTCTCTTCTCTCTCTCCTCTCTCTCTCTCTCTCTCTCTCTCTCTCTCTCTCTCTATCTCTCTCTCTCGCTTCTCTCTCTCTTTTCTCTCTATCTCTTCTCTTCTCTTCTCTCTCTCTCTCTCTCTCTCTCTCTCTCTCTTCTCTCTCTCTCTTCTCGCTCTCTCTCTCTCTCTCTCTCTCTCTCTCTCTCTCTCTCTCTCTCTCTCTCTCTCTCTCTCCTCTATCTCTCTCTCTCTCTCTCTCTTCTCTCTCTCTGATATATATATGATAATGAAAAAATACATCTACAATATGGTTGCTCCCTCGATTAAGTCACACGCCGTACTAATGCTTCTCTGCAAGGTAAAGCTTACTTGACCTGCAATCTGGGCAGCTTATCAGGTACTCAATGCCAGGAGAAATATCTTGAATACTTCCGCAAATCAACTAAACCCTAGGCACTCAATTACCCTGATAAAACAAGCTATCTGTTGATATACCAGCTCAAGAGAGCTGAATACCAGTCAGCCGCCGCAGTACTGAAAGCATCGCTGCTGGCACCGGCAGGGCTACGGCGGTTCGCTGGGCTCCCGGCTCAAGTCGCTCGAGTACGAGTCACTGGACGGCCGGGACCGAGCCGGCTGGGGCGACCCATCACACCCGTACATCGGCGCCCCGTACGGCGGCGGCCTGCGAGACACGGCCATCTCCTCCTACCTGGGCGAGGAGCTGCTCGAGCGTCGGCTGGCCAGCGCCTAACAGGTAGGCGTGGCGCCGCCGGAGGCCCTGTCGCACCGCCCGCCCCCGCCCCCCCCCCCCCCCCCCCCCCCCCCCCCCCCCCCCACCAGACCGGCACCCGGTGCCGCCGGCCACTAGAGAAGCGCTTCCTGTAGCCTAGTCTAGAGGCGGTGCCGGAGCCGTCGGCCGGTACGTCACGGCGGTACTGGTGCTAGCCAGCTAGAGCATTCTGTGCAGCACTTCTGTGTCTCACCCGCTCTTTCTGTCGTTCTATGTGTCTTCCTCTGTGCGTCTGCTGCCCTCCCCCTCTCATGCCTGGGTGGTGACCCCTACACTGACCACGTCGGAGTCCGGCGGTCGACCGGGTCTCAAGCTGCCGCATCGCCTGGCTTTGCCCTCGGACCGTCGATGAACTCTGCTCTGTGAGCCCTATCATGTCAAGCACCAGGCATGTCCCGTTGTTCTCGTAGACGACCTGCCGACACCCAGATCGTCGCCGCTGTTGCCCTTCAGTAGCCTCCTTTTCTTTCTCGCGCAGGTCCAATGAGGGCAGTGGGTTGTGGGATGAGGAATTCATCATGTAAAGACAGTCTCTGCTGTTAAGGTACTCTCCGGGCGCGCCAAAGCCTCTCGTCTAACAGTTTATGCCTGCTAGCTGCATACTGCTCCCTCGATACCTCGACTCACGCCTGAATGCTATGCTGCACTCTAGCCATTCTGGTGCGGTTTGCCTGCCTGTACCATTTTTCTGTAGTCGTCCGTGTTGTGCCAGTGGAATACTTAATCGTGTGTGCTTATTGCGAACACTGGCCTTGTCAGTGATTGGCGTTAGAGTAATTCTGCTGGTTCTGCATTGGTCAACTAGTTGTTCGACTCAATCATCTCTCTCCTTTTGCGCCTGTTTCATTTTTCGTAGTTTTGGATGACATAAGTAAACATCTGCGTCATCTTGTCTGGTGATTGATTATCCAAGCATATGCGTGTTGTCTTGTAAATGGTTTGAATATTGCAAATGTGTTGTGATCGAATTTCATCCGCGTCTTCTTCGCATTTTCTTTCTCGTGGCTGCTGTTCGCTCCATCCCTTCTTACCATGCATTGGCATTTTCTGACAGTGCGTTCCGATTATTAGATTCTTGTACATTGCTGCATTATGTCTCTGCATTCGACCTGCCGTGACCGCCGCAGAAGAGTCGCGCGACCGTGGCTTGCGAGAGCCGCTGTCTCCATTTCGCACTATGCTGCCAGTGCGTGGCGTCCCCTACCCGCTGTAACACCGGCGCGTTTCTGCCCCTTGTAGATCCTACCAGCGTCGGCTGAGCGACAGCGGCGTGCTCCACTCTTCCGAGTTCAGTAGATCGTACTTGAGCGACGGTAGCCCGCGCCACCGGCTTTCGCGCAAGCCGCGCAAGCCGCGGTCCTGGCATCCGTCGCCCTACGTGAGCGACGAGGACGACGAGATGCTGAACCGCGAGGAGCGTCGCCACAAGATCAAGCAGGAGATCTCGCGGCGACGCCACCACATCGAAGAGAACTCGACACTGCACGACGAACTGATGCGGCTGGCGCGGCTGCGCGAGAGCGCGGAGCTCTCGTTCGGCGAGCGGCCGGACGGCGGCGGCGCGCCTCCCGGCCGTGACACCGGCCACAGCGTGCTCAAGTCCATCGACGAGATCATGCGCGACGAGGGGTACGCGCGCCGCGTGCCCGATACCGGCCTCAGCTACTACAGCTCACCACCCACGCGCAAGATCGACTTTGATGGCAAGCTGGGTCGCAAGTTCTCCAACTCGGACGAAGAGCGGAGCATGAACCGGCTGGCGTCCACCTTCAACACTAACGAACTGTACTATGACCCCATGCCTGAGTACTCGTCTTACAGCAAACAGCGGGCCGACCCGAGCGGCTCACTTTACCTGTCTGACTCCGCGTCAAGGTCGCGTCAAAGTCAAAGGGTCGATGACCCCAGCGCGCGCAAATTATACAAAGGCAAGTACGACAGACGGTGGCATTGATGTACCTAGTGTTGTGCGAGCAACGCTGTGTGGAATGGTTGTTGGACCTTTACCCTTTCTCTCTCCCACGTCAGTCTTGCGCAGTGAAACTGTGTATAATTATGGTTTCTCTCACCGCTTAGCTTGCCTAGTGGCCTGCTGATCAATGTATCCAACGCTTCAGGTGTTTTTGGCTTCGTTTGTTGTTGTGCAATACTTTTTCAAGGCCACAACGCTGGATGGCCTCTGTCACTCGTGCCTGCTTTACCGTCACACTGTCGTCACTGTGCAACTGCTAAGCGAATGGCTGGCTTCACTTTGGCACATGGTTGGGGCCGCTGAACTTCAAACCCTGGTTGTGACCCTACCCACGTGTCAGTTTGGTTTGTGCCTTATGGGTTTCAGATTTGTACAGTACAGTGAACTGATTAATTTGGTGGCATTCCTGTCATATCATGAGGGAGAGAGAGCAAGAAAGCACAAATTGTTGTTGAGCGGATCGCACGCTTTTGCTTGTCTTGTACAGGTATGGGTGTGATTTATTGTTACCATATGTGGTGTAGTGTCTGGCGATGAAGGATTACCTCTGTAGGACGGGATAGCCATTTGTTTGTGCCCTTTTCTTACTTCCCTCGATTTGATTGACCTGTACAGAATCGATGATGATTCATATCTGTAATTGGTCTTCGATGCCGAGGGCCATCTTGCATATACATATATACATAAATACACTGTTTTTGTTACCACATGCACTTCATTTTGATATCATGCGAGAAACTGAATGTTTCGCGGTCTCTAATGAAACGACAGCCATGCACCAAAACATAGCTACGCACCGGGGATAGCTTGGCGCATGAAAACTGCAACGCACCAATTCTGGTAGGTGGAAGTGTCTAAATAAACACCTTGTTATGGCAGCTGGTGTGGTTCATGCTGATTCATGTCATGCTTACCAATTACACATGCAATTAGAATAGACGCGTGGAAGCCCGAGGCTGCGTAGTCTTAACTTGAACGTATCGAAACGCACAGCATGCTCAGACGTCAGTAAGTCTTTTTTGCCAGCCGTCGTCTATCGCTACTTTATCTTAAATCATGGTATTAAATCGCGTCACAATGGACAGTCAACTGAAAGAGTAAGCTCAGCCTGCAAAACATATTTTCAACTCGCTGGCCCAGTCCAAACCACCAAAAGATAACACATATATGAATATATGACTTATTGCTACCGCACTCAATATCACGCACTTAACACTGCACGTTGGTAACACGGTCCTGTTAATGCGAGGCCCCAGCCGTGGATCACAAATGTGTGGTTATAGGTGATCACAGCATTACGCCTCCGGTGGCATGAAATGCGCGCATGCTTCTACCCGCTCAACGTTGAAGTGAAGACATCGTGCCAATTCGATGTTAAAGTATGTTGTTGCTGGCACACCGCCCAGCTGCTCTCTCGGCATGACATTGCGTTTCTGGCAGCGGATGGTCAACACAACTGCAAGAAAGGCTCAACTTTCTAATGCGCTCTTCAGACAACTCCTTGCCCACAGAATCAAGAACAAGTTCTTCAAATAAGATATATATGCATGCCCCAACAGGGATCCGTGGATGCTTCACGCTAGTTGGTCGAGGGAAAGATGCATACAAAAGAGCCTTTATCTTGGAGCTAATAGAGCAAAGGAGAAAGGAAACAGCCGTTGGACGGCCAAAATGTTGTTGGGCTACGACTTGCTCTGCTATGGATTTAAATGACATGAGACCATTCGTCACTTTTTGAATAATTGACCACATTTTCTCTCTGTCTGCGATGTAATAACTGCGGCTGACTGACCCGCCAAACCCTCGTGCACTTCGCAAACATGTTCACAAATTATCGACTTAAAAGAGCGTTTTGCCACTTAACAATTGAATGCTCCCTCAGCCCTTTGGCCAGTCGCGGACGTTACTTGAAGCTTGGAAGGCTTACTGGGAAAGTTATGTTAAGGTAGCTGCCAGGTTTTGGAATAATCCAAAAGACGCCTTTAACATAAAAAATTACCGACGTCATTGGTATATGATGACCTTAAGTAATAGTATCACTTAGAAATAAGGGGTCGATACTTCCCGCTTTAAGTCAACACAAAATCAAGATTGCCAGTCTATCGAATGCACTATTGAAAGTAAAGAAAACAGTTGACTTACATTGTTGATGCACGATGACGTTTAAGCGTACCAATATGATTCTCAAATGAAGGGGCACACTGCCACGCAAAACAAAATGAAGAAAATTAAAAAGCTGCACTGCTAAAGCGCAAAACACCCAAAGACAAGAGTGAAAGTAAAAAGACTAGCAACCCATGCTGGTTTCAGCACAGTACCTGCATTTTGTAGAATGCAAAATATGAGCGTAAAAGCCACAAAAGGTATCAGCCACGTTAGGATGCACCACTCGCAGATATTGCCTCGATCGCGTTTTGAGCTGACATGCTCCTGATACAAGCCGTCTAGATGACGAACCGGGCATAAGCGTCGTCTTAAGAGGGGTACCGTTTGATGTGCGGCTGACACCACTTACTGAAAATTGCATGAGGCTTGTGTGCTTTATGAGGCTTACATGAGGCTTGTTACATTTGGCTACCAATGGCTAACAGCACATCGATGTGCAACAGCCACATATATTTAAGGTCAGTACATCTTTATTGCAGGATTTACTTTTTCGTTGATATTCGTGTCCTAGGATCAGCATTTTTATTCCACGTTTTTGTTCACTTTTTCGCCATGCTCGCGTGTAATATCTTCGTTTTACTCATCCACATTCACGTCTTTGTCAAGCGTGTGTCTTGCATATAATTCCGGCAATCACATTTAATGACGCCGTATTGTTTAAGCATGCATTCATATGAACCAATGGAAAGCGACGACGTTAGCAATATCACATTCCATATAAAACGTGTCTAGAATATTTGTCTTCGTACCGTGAAAAGCGCAATCGATTCGCAACGCCTTCACCACGGGGTACGCAACATCCCCGCACATACGGTGATCAAAGGACACGTGCAAAATGATTCGACAACGTTAACAAATTTGGACTCGATTTCAAATGGTTTATCAACTATGCACACAGTCTCAGGGGTCTTCTTCAACTCAACAAATAGTGTTCAGCCTTTAAGAATAGCGGGAAGGTGAAGGGCAATGATGACTACATGTGCAAGGTAAAAGTGTAAATTTGTTTAATATCGCTGCACAAAAGAGAGTAATTTCATATTTGTTCCACGATAGAAGCTATTTGCAGCCACCTTTGCTCACGAAAAAATCATACTGGAGGAGGGACAACCGATTCTATTCTTAACGCACAGTTTCCAATCCATCAGAGCCGATGGATGGCCTGCACCACGAGGGTGGCGTACCCAAGATAAATGAGTATTGATGAGATGGTAATGGGTAGCGTGATAATACTAGATGTGACCCCAATATGATTATTTTTTTACGACGGCGGCATGAAATGTTTTAGAACGTTAATCGTCTGACCAAGTTTGTTTGACCTGCTGGATGTTTCACTTGAAATGCTAATTATAAACGTGCACGTACATATTTCAACAATAGGCTACACAAGAGCTTACTGTCAGGAAGTGTAACCAAACTTCTGACATTTAAAGTAGTATCTCTCACACAATTATGGTGGTTTGGCAGCTGGAGATGCAGGCCTCTGTCCCCGCACTCAGCGGCTACACGCGTCATTTGCAAGACAATACAGTCGTAGCAGGTGTGGATCATTGGGCAATTTGAGAAGTACGTCGCATTCTGGGGCTGTCGTGGAACTGTTTTACTAAGTAGATAAATACTGACTTAAAAAATGAAAAATGTTCAAAAGTTCAAAGCTCTGTAATATAAAGATGTATGTTAATGAATAGTATGCTACACAAATGACAGTCTTCTTTGACTTGATGTTTTAAATGAAACATGTTGTATAAAACAATTTTCAACTTAAACGGGCCCACTCAGAAACCATTATTTCTAGAAGCTATGTAGGTGCATGCTCCCTATGAGCACCGTGAATCTGTATTTACTCCAGAACGATCGCTCTGAAAAATGCAACATACGAAATATGAAATCGTGACTCGAAACTGGAGCTCCTTAACTGGGTTAGCCATAATTTGTTTTTATATTTGTGCTACCTTGAAATGTGCGGCATGTTTTTACTCATTATCTGTTTGAGAAGCGACCGAAAGACGTTTCTGTGACCGATCGGGAATCGAATTGATTCATATAGGTCTTCAGTCAACCAGGTATTTTGTCTCCAAAAGACATAACTAAAACAGACTTCCACGCTCTCTCGTGCACCACTTATGTGGCCGCCTGTTTTGGGCCGTTATAGGAGGCAAATGTCTGATCTCAGCGACTTAAGTATACTGAGGCGTGACACCAACTGCATGCTGCGGGTGAATGTACCGACTGCGACTCACTAGCGGATCTCAGAACTACTGTCCAACACATACGTCACTGCGCTAGTATGCCAGTAATCTGTCCAACACATACGCCACTGCGCTAGTATGCCAGTAATCTGTCCAACACATACGCCACTGCGCTAGTATACCAGTAATCTGTCCAACACATATGTCACCGCGCTAGTATGCCAGTAATCTGTCCAACACATACGCCACTGCGCTAGTATGCCAGTAATCTGTCCAACACATACGCCACTGCGCTAGTATGCCAGTAATCTGTCCAACACACACGTCACTGCGCTAGTATGCCAGTAATCTGTCTAACACATGCGCCACTGCGCTAGTATGCCAGTAGTCTGTCCAACACACACGTCACTGCGCTAGTATGCCAGTAATCGACCGAAAGGTGACAGACATCGCCCTTTTGGAAATCGAGGTTTCGAATACAGGACGCTTTGTACAATGCCGAGAGATATTGGACAATTTTAGCTACGCTTACATGTAAAACTGTTCAATGCGACGAATGCACAGTTGAAACGTTTGGTTTGAGAGGTGAAATCTATGTTTGCAACAACTTTGTCACAATTGCCAAAACAACGCATCATTGCAAATTCACAGATTTTGCTGACTAAGTTGCAAGACCTGGTGAGCCTCACCAATCTCATAATCAGTCGTTTTACAGTCAATGTTAATTTGTGATAAGTGGAGCTCCACCCGCCAGCTTTTGATGAACGGTAGACTTTCCCACGGCTTTCCGACGCATTGGTCAAACTTGTTGGCATCGGACACCGTAGACGTCTGGCTTAATCAGTGGGTTTGATACGTGATACGTGATACATGATAAAACAGGGTAAATCTACCATTCGTGTTGGCCTCGCCTCGTCTCACGCCACCGACGGCGCCCAATTGGCTTGGGTGAGATAAACAGCTGCATTTTAAGGGGCAGACCGCCGCGGCTCCCCAATACCCGTGCCTTTTCAACATAATTTCACGAAGTATTTTGGAATACCTTGAAAACAGCTCATCAAGCAGTTCAGCAGCACCTACGCGGATATCGTTCGCAGTTATCCACTGCATTCAACCAGTGAAGCTGTATTTCGTTGATTAACGAAAATCTCAACAACGCTTTTTTAGAGATGTTCTGTGGTGATGTGGGCTCTTCTAGCAGCAAAAGCACAAGTTAAAAAAAAATGTCAAAAATATTACGTTGAAACAAAGTTTACCTTTAAACTGCATTGAACCTATAATGCATATATGCAAACAATGTTACCATTCATGATGCTGGCCATGATTTCAGCTTTAGGATGATCAGCTACATAGTAGGATACTCGACCACATAGCGCCCAACGACCTGGGCATCCTGTAAGCCGTACATTAAAGCAAATCGTCAGAGCTCAGTGTTTTGCGAGAATCAATGTGCCTACGCGTAAAACCGTGCAGAATGCTACGCATAGACGCTGTAAAGACTAGATCTGTGTGTGTGTATGTACCTAGCGAATTTAGACCAGTGGCTGTCAGAGTAGCCTGCATTCCTGTCCGGTGTGCGCCCCGCCGCAGGGCGTAGCAGACTCGAGTAGGCTGTCCCCTGAACAGGCGGTCGGCGTCGCGCGCGGCCGACTGCGCCCTCTCGTAGCTAGCGGCCCTGGACTAACGCTGTGCCGTATGCCGTCGTCTCTCCGGTAGAGCCCTTCCCCTCCCTCGGCCACCCGGTAGACAGAGGGTATAGTTACCGCGCGGCACCACCACCAGGAGCGGCCGCCGTACCGGACGACTACGGCCTGATGGGCGGCCACACGCGGCGCGCGCGCGCCCCGCCGCCGCCCGCTCTGACCGCGGGACGCCGGCCGGCCCAAGAAAACACAAGTAAGAACGTAAGCTATATTTCATACTTTCGGTGTTGTTGTTGTGCCGCATGCCAATGGCAGTGTCATCTGCCGCCTGCTCTCCGCTGTCCGGCAAAGCTTCTCAGTGCAGTGTCAACACCAGTGATCGCTGCACTCGGCACGGGCCTCGCCAGGGGCCGTTGCACCCCGCAAAGGTCCGTGCGTCCGGCGCATGGCCGGTCAGGGGCCGCCGTGCCCGACATTAAGCCAGCCAGGGGCCGTTGCCCCGTGCACAGAGCCCACACCACGGACCACTGCCCCGCTCACAGAGCCCACACCACGGACCGCTGCCCCGCTCACAGAGCCCACACCACGGGCCGCTGCCCCACGCGCAGAGCCCACACCACGGGTCGCTATGTCTTGCACAGAGCCCACACCACGGATCGCTATGCCTCGCACAGAGCCCACACTAGAAGTCGTTGCTCTGCGCATAGAGCCCACACCACGGGCCGCTACATCCCGCGCACAGAGCCCGCACCACGGGTTGCTACACCTCACACGGAGTCCACCAGTGTCTGGGACCCGCCAAGGTCCGCTGTACCCGGTTCAGGGCCTGCGAGGGGCCTCTACGTCCAGAAAAGGGTCTGCCAGGGGCCTCTCCACTCAGCACAAAGCCCGCCAGCCGTCACTGCACCCAACACTGGGTCTACCAGGGATCACTGCGCCTGACACTTGGCCCGCCAGGCCACTGAGGTTGAAAAAGAGCCGACCAGGGGCCGCCGCACCCGCCATAGGGTCCGCCCGCGTCGCGTTACACGCGCACAGGAGTCCCTGACATACCTGCACTATGCCACGAGCTGGCTAAAGTGCACAACACCTCTCGAATTAAATGTGCTCGTTCGGTTTCGTGTGTGGGCTGTGACGCGTGTCCGCCAAGTTGATTCCTCACCTGCGAGTAGAGTTACACCAGCATCGTTTCGCAAAAGTGAGCACCAGCACATAGCTATTATGGCATAGTCAGTCGCATTGTCTTCATGTATTTGCACAAAACTCGTTTGTTCAAGTACCAGAACAATATAAATCTATACCAGTCCGAGTGATTTTGAAAATGCTACAAACGACGACGAGCATTATGCGATTACTAACGCGTCTCAGAAGATGGTCGTGCCCATCGAATATGGTCGTGACCACCAACCACGTATAAAATGGAAGGCTTGCCATTAAATGACATCTTCCAAAGGGGCACACGGATGTTACTGCTTACCCTCAAAAGCGATAGCCCATCTCTATGGATGTGTTGTTCGCCGCACACACTGCTGTCTTAACGGCGCTGATGTCTGTTCAGCCTTTGCGTTTTCCTCAGACACCCGATCATCAGCACGTCAAAGAAGCGGGGTGCCAGTCTACTATGAAACGTTTGTTCGTAACAAGGGAGAAGCATCGTTCAGGTATGATACTTGGTGCTCATCAAATTTCACCTGGCTAATGTAGTCTGCGTCGTGTGGCAGTAACGATGTGGTATGATTATCAAGCATGTAAGACAATTTTGACCGTCTTTCGAGGATCTTAGCACACAGAAAATGTTACATAGACTCAAAGCTATCACAAAACACGAGTATAGACTGTCCGTCACCTTTGATAGCGACGCATTCTCTGTGACCTAGACATTGGCAGCGTATGAAAACGCAACCAGGCAGCGCACTTCATCACATGCCGGCCTGTTAGGGCTTCCAGTTAAGCTTCAGAGTAGTTTCCGAACGATTCGAAGCCAGCCTTTTTTTCCCGCAGGTGAAAGTGGGGTTGGTATGAAGCTTGTGGGAGGAAAATTGACACCCAGCGGCGAGACTGGAGCATTTGTCGGAAAAATTTACAAGGGAGGAGTGATAGATCTACTGGGGCAACTTAAAGAAGGTACAGTACGTCAACGCATGGATTTTGCTCTTTTAGCAATTGATCCGAGCTCTTGCAACCATTAATGAACAAAGTTAACTAGAAACGTCATGTCCCATAAATGGCATGTCCTGGACTATATCAAAGCGTGGTAGACTAATTAAATGACTCATTAAGCTACGGTTGATGCATTTTTTATATCGTGTGAGGTTGCGGGGATGAGCTTTGCACTCCTGTCCGCAGGTGACGAAATTGTTGAATGGAATGGCACTTGCTTACGTGGCAAAACATACGAGGAAGTCCAGAAAATTTTGAGCGAATCTACTCAAGAGATTGAAATATTAGCTGACTGCGGTCCCAAGACGCCGCCTGTTTCGACTTCGCCAGCCAAAGCCAGCGCCGCGCCGAAGCTGGACCGCTCGTCGAGCGGTAGCCCGCAGGTGACATGTGGGTCGCGAGGTCGCAGGTCACTGCCCAGGGTTCCGGGGGAGACGGCGGAGGGTGGGCCGGCGAGGCGCAGCAGGAGCGTCAGGAAGACCGACACAGTCTACGACACCAATGGCAACCCCGTCGAAGCGAAGCTGAGCCGAGCTGGCAACCCCGTCGAGGCGAAGCTGAGCCGAGCTGGCAACGGCACCCTCGACGAGGACGACGGTGAGTTGGCCCACAGGCCTGCATCTGCACCGGTGAGTTGGCCCACAGGCCAGCGCCTGCACCGGTGAGTTGGCCCACAAGCCTGCACCTGCACCGGTGAGTTGGCCCACAGGCCAACACATTGCAGCGGCAATTGAACGCTTTATTCTTAGATGGAAGCAAAGCTGGACGACAGGACGGAATAACACATTATGCAATAATACATTAATGCATAATACATTATCTCGCATATTACCAACCATTTGAAAAATGTCGCGCTTCGAACCAGCTCCGTATCGGGCTTTCCGTTGAATACTGATAGCCCTTGGTCTACCAGCCTCTAACGTTCTAGCCATTCACTCCTACCGAGGAAAAGTTGCATAGACCTGGATCAAATACCATTGATCACTTTAAAGCGAATGGGCTAACCAAAAACTCTTCCGTTTTCATGAACGAGGCGGGAATGAAAAAAGTACGATGGCATCTTTTCAGCTACAACAGATTCAGAAAAATAGAACACAGTTTCTTCCGCCAATTTCGTTCAGCTGATCTCATTCTAACACTAAGAATTTACGTGGCGTTTTATTCAGAATTAATAATTATGTCCTCAATTGCTCACATTAGAGCCACAGCTCTTCAGAATTACTGGAGGGCAAGGGGTAAATGATGTTGCAAAGAAGTGCTTCATATACATTAGGGGATGCCATAGCCCTCTATATACCGGACTAAAAAACAGTTTTCGTTGCCTTCATTACATCATCAATGATGACTCAGTGATCATCAGTGATCATCAGTGGTCATCATTCATTATCAGTGGTCATCAGTGACTTCTAATTCAATTCTTCCAACTTAATGGCTGTCGGAGGGACAAACGAAGCTAATTGTATAAACCCACTCTTGAAAGCGCCGCAGGACTCAGTACTCTCGCTTCTAAACCAACCCACAACCCAGCCACATCATGTAAGGGACACAGCCAGCATACCAAGCAGCGTTGTAGACGGCCTCTCGTGTCTGGACGCCGCCCCGCCCATCAGAGCGGCCTCGGAGGGCCACAGCGATGCTCGCCGGCCGTGTGCCACATTGATGGCCGGCTCACGCCACATTCGTCAATAATTCTACCGTGACACAGCGCGCCGTTTGTGCCGGCCAGATCGCCGCGAGAACAACTCCAGCATCGACCCGATGGACAGCGTAAGCAACTTGCGGCCGGCTGGCCGGCGGCGACTCGATCCAGCGCCTGACCTCGACCGGGGCACCAGCGGCAGCCGTGCGCGCCGCCGGCACCTCCGCCACCACCCGGGTGAGCGCGAGCGCGGGGCTGTCGTGACCGCCGGCCGCTGCGCTGAGGCCTGCATTGGCAAATTTCGCCTCAACATCTGCGAATCGTTCTCTCTTTTCAGTGCTTCACTTCTCACTCTTTTTCTCAATCGCCACTTGGAGTAACGAACAAGTATGGGAAGGTGGCGGGCGGGGGGGGGGGGGGGCGGGGGGGGGAATGCATTGAGAACACTACGAGTCGAAAAGCGCGGAGATTTGATCCCATTTTTTACAAGCTATTATATACCTGGCTATTGCTTTCCTCCTCGCCCACGAACGCTATCCATGTAGGGAAAAAGGATGTACTGCTGTACCATGCAATTCATATTGACAATACCGTGCTTTAGCGTAAAGCGTAGCTTTTTCAGACGGCATAACTTTCCGAGGCGTGGTAGTCAATTAATTTTTAAACTTTTTAAATAAATTTTTAAAAATTTTAATTAAAAATTAAATTAAAAAATTATGCATCTCGGGCATTTTCTAATGGGCGTCTCTGTTGAACCGTCCTTGGCAATCAAATTCGCGCGACACAGAATGTTTCTTATCCCACGATCTCGGTTGCCAGAAGCAGTCTGAGATGGACGTCACTTGTAATCAACAGATACGTACACCAGGGCTCTATCTAAAGCGAGATCTCGTTTTCCAGCGCTTGCCACTTGGGATAGCGCTGGGCCAGATTCAGCTCCAGCTCTGCTACGACGTGGTGGCCCACATACTGTACGTCAGCGTGCTGCGGGCCAAAAACCTGAAGACCCGACGGCCGAACGGCGACACGAGGCCGGACCCATTCGTCAGGGCCACGCTGCTCCCGGACGCCAGGTACCGGCCGGCCGCGGCAGCGACGCGCGCCTGTGCGGTGCGGCCCTGCACCCAACAGCCAACATAAGTGGCCTGGCGCTTACCGCTACACAGCCGGGGCGTCGTCACAGCTAGGCTTTGCAGCGACCTTCTGTTAAAGTAGGTTTGAACGTTTTTCTTTTCTGGAACGTGATGTTTTGGTGATTGTTGCAGGTATGCCGCTGGGATGACGAGCCAAGTGCTGATGACCTGTCACCAGGCAAACGCCGCAGTAGCTCAAAACGGTGCTCTCAGGCCTAAGTTAATGTTTTGTGCCTGCACAGGTGCGGCTGGCCGGATTCAGCTGGCGACAGCCGCACGTTTTAAATTCAGACAACGAGCGGTTCTGCTCTCATGGCAAGAACCACTGCAATGCATTGCAAGAACTTTGATAAATGGTTAAACGGTGCATACCAGAGCAGGCACAGCGACGAAAGCAAAACACGGATGGGCGGATTTGCCACTCAGATCTGCACTATTAATGAGGGCGCTCCACATTTATATGGGATTTGAACTGATATAGCCATTTTGAAAACCTTTTGGTGTTGTTCATAATACTGCTCTTCTTAAGACCTAAGCCCCTCTGGTCTCTGGGCTATACACCCGCGAAAAGAAAAAAAGTACATCGGAGAGAGCATTTCAAAGACACCTTGGCATTAATGACGCCATAATAGCGCCGTTCAAATCCCGCCGTTTCGTAAGCCATGCGGTGATCAAGGCCAAGAAGAATACTTTTTCGAGGTGTTCACATCCAGCGCTCATGAGCGCGATTTCCAAATATAACGGCCGCCAACTGGCTCTCAATCAATGCTGTGCAAGGTGCGATGACGTTATCAAACCATGCTGTATTGAGGAACATATTTACTTAACAGAGAATTGTGCTGTGTAGAGTAGTCTTTTCCTATTAAAAAGGATACCAATGGTTATTAGTGAACTCGTTTCGTCAATTCTGATGATTGCTACAGTATTTTCAACTGTGAAGCATTCGCTTCACGTGTGCGGCTTCTGCAGCTCACGCACACAGGTGCTCGCAATAAATTCTTGTACCAGATCCTGTACTTGTATCCGATCTAACGACTGGACCGTTTTGTAAAAGATTGTTACGGTCGACCAGGGCAGTGTGTTCTGCGGTACAGCATACCCCCTAGGCTTCCTGAGACTGACGATTTCCGGGAACGCGTCGCATGTCGCTCCAAGTCCACAGGCTTAGGGGCGCCAAACAAGCGCCAAAGATTACAGGTTACATTAAGGAGCGATTTAAATGGCCGTATTAGCACCCAGAGGCTAACGACCCGGTAGGAATTGATACCCAGGCACCTCACGGCAGTTTGCATTGTCACCACTGGACGATCACGTCGCTAGACCACAACGACCACAGATTCTTAAACAGGCCTTCTTAAAGGAGACGTTCATGGCCGTGTGATGACACTCCCGGCGTTCCACAGCTCGGAGAATACGCGGACTACCCGTCACTTCTCGTACGAGTCGGTGCCGGAGTGGAACCAGACCATGGTGTACCCCAAGGTGCAGGCCGAGACTCTGCGTGCCTCCAGCCTGGAGGTCTCCATCTGGAACCACGATCTGTACAAGGGCAACGAGCACCTGGGACAAGTCTGCATCGATTTGTCAGGTGACGGGAGAACATGGCGCTGGAGAGGTGGCCTGTCATGACCCCGACGTCCGTGATTGAAATGGCCATATTAGCACCCAGAGACCGAGGACCCGGTAGAAATTCCCCCTCAGGCACCGCACAGCAGTTTGCATTGTCACCACTGGATTATCACGTTCATTTAAGAAAACTGCGCACCAAATTTGGAAAACCGATGTAGGTTTAAATGAGAATTCGGGTAAGGAATAAATGTTGCTCTTCATGAACTAGATTTGAAAGTTTACTTGCACTGCTTACGCACGTGACACCAATATGTCTGTTGGCAACATTATTCAGCATAATGCAATGGTATGCTCTTGATAATTTTTGCTTCTTGAAAAGATGCGTTTAGTTTTGTATGTGTATGACTGAAAGAGAACGCTTTTGTCCCTAGATTTTGTCCTTTGCAAAGTTCAGACCGCCTCAGTTGTTGAAAGTCTCCTTCTTAAGCTTACTTGGCACAGACATGGCTACTCTTTCTTCCTATTCATAACTTTGTCCAACGTTTCTTGAACGCAGTACCTAAGTGAAACATTATCAAGACTTCAGAGAAATACTTATATTTTCAGATCCACACAGCGTCGACGAGCAGCCTCGCTGGTACCAGCTGGTGGCGCTAGATGGCAGGGGCGGGCAGAAGTCGGACGGCCGCCGCCGTTCCGACAGGCATTTTCTGCCCAGAAAGTCGCGGGCGAAGCGGCCTGACGTGCTGCCCATGGAGACCGACCAGGGAGGTTCGTGCTCCAGTAAAGGTGACACCTAATCACTGTGACACCTCCGTTTGCTAAACATTGATGGCACACCTTGTCACCTTATCTTATATCTCTCGCTACGCAGTGCGATACGACGCTATACGATACGCAGTTCGGTTACTTGATATGAGTGTTCGCAACATTTTGTGCGTGTCAAGTTCTAATAAAATGGATGAAAAGTTCATTTTTGACTAACTCTGCGTCACTTGTCTTGTTGTTCAGGGTTCCACCGACGCAAAACCCTTGCCCTTGTCAAAGTTTTGTGGCTTAACACAGTCCATAAACGATCTCTTCAACAACACTCTTTTCGCCTTTGTCTCTCATAACCTCCTTCGTGACGTGCCTCGCTCAATTTCAGCCAACCAGCGTCAGACTAAGTACATTTTCGCTACCTCGGGCATCTCAGCGACGTCCATGTTTCCGGGCCGCTGTCACGGCAACATGTGCTCCATTTTGTGAGCCGTGCCACGGGCGGCAGCTGACGGCGGCCAGCGGCACGCACGCGCCATCTTCCCAGACCGGCACCGCCCGCCAAACAAGCTCGCGTGTCGGCTCTCCGTATCGTGCTGGTGTGCCGCGTAACGAAGTGTCGGGCCGGCGTCACTGATCTGTGGAAGGTCGCTGCCAGCCGGCCCTCCGACACCAACTCTGCGCGCCCGTAAAACGGGCTCGCCGACATCAGCTCTGTGAGCCCGGAGAACCGGCTCGCCAATACCAGCTCTGTGCGCCCGGAGAACCAGCCCCAAGGACACGGGCTCTGTGCGCCGGGAGAACCGGCTCGCTGACACCAGCTCTGTGCGCCGGGAGAACCGGATCGCTGACACCAACTCTGTGCGCCGGGAGAACCGGCCCTCCGACACCAGCTCTGCGCGCCCGGAGAACCGGCCCGCCGACATTGCTTAGTCGATGTAAAACCCATAAGAGCCGCAAATTGTTCGTAGTTCATGGCAGAACGTTGGCCGCCAAAGCACCTGATGCCGAGAGATTTGGGCTTGTTTCGCACCGTTACTGGTTAGCGGTTCTGCACCGTAGTCGATTGCGGCTGCAAAATATGACCACGTTCGGAGGAGAAACGAAACGACTGGAGGCTCAGAGTGGGACAGATGGTCGAACCAGCGTTGAATCCGATAGTTTGCCCTGGATGGGAAACATGCGTCACTCGCTCAATGTGTCTCGTTCGCTTCCAGACAACAGAAGTTTGCACGTTTTGTCTTAACCGGGCGCGCATGCTTGGAAGTGATTGATAGGATTGACCGCGAGCAACGTCACAGTGGCGGACGTCTTCACGAAGGGAGAAGACGTAGCAGAGGGCATTGTTTGTTCATAATGAATGTGATGCATTGCATGCCGCGGTGCATGCTGTTCGAACCTAAGGAGTACTAGACATTCCAGGTGTGTTCATGTATATGCGCCGTAATATCCTCAATATCATCCTCTCTCGTATCCGCCTGTCTGTAGACTATCGAATTATGTTTAAGAGCTCCTTATAACCAATTATCTGGTTCCGATCAGAATGTGCTTTTATCCCTCGGGTTGAACAAATATATATCTTTAGAACCGTGACTAGGGCGCTAAACAAGTAGCTTTCTGACCCATCTTTAAAGGAGAAAAGCGAGGAAATGTCTAGACGGACAGATTCAAACAACTACCTTGTAACATATTTGCATCATACTTGTAATTCGTGAGCATATCTCCGTGTGCCGACTGTATATACAAGGTATCGTTTACCTACGGTTTTCAACATGCCATTTTCTCCTGGCTATCCCATCTAATTCCGTGTTTCGTGTCAATGTGGTGCCCTGCGGTTTCAAGATCTACGCCGTGATGTATGTCAATATTCATAACACGCCGTTATCGGGTGTGTCCAGCTGCCTGTGTCTCGTTTAATTATTTAGCCGCCTTGTGACGTTTTCTACTACTCGCTTCGGAGCAGATTTGGGTTCATGAGCATTAAACGTGGCCCAGATGAACTTCGTGCCGGGGATATGAAATGTTTGGATATAGGGGTGAAGCGAGCCCCGCATGCAAGCAGTTTTTATCCATGTCGCTGTGCTGTCTATGTAGTGTAGAGTTGTACCGGTAGATGTCACTGTCAGTGCCTGGTGGTTGGTCAAGTGCTTTCACGAACAATACACACATCATCACATTCTGTGTGTTTATTGGATGCAATGAGGTGAGATCACACTTTCCAGGATCAGTCAACCTAGAGAAGAAAAAAGGAAATGGCTTTTTAGAACTGAATGAAGGAGAAACAAAATGTTGGATTTGTTATGAGGAGCGAACTAATAATTTCAAAATGAGAGCGACAAAACTCGAAATGTTCGCCAAAACCAAGTTTAGGACGCCTCGGGTGCGTGCAATTTCTTGCGTACCGTCAAACAGTATTGCTCATTTGGGATCTTCCAATTTTGACGTCTTGATCAAGTGTTTTTAACTGTGAACATTTGGCTACGTACACATCAATACATGTCATACATTTGGAAAGGAGGGTGCACGTGCCCCGAGGGTTACGTTGTGCGTACACCCCTGCCTGTTATTACTGTACAGTTAGACTACAGACGGCTATTCGGCGGGGAAATAACCCCATTTTCAAGGAAGCGCCCAGCTCAAAACTTTCTGTAATACAACTATCCGCCAAAAATATGCTGGGAACCTGTCACCAGTGCCACAGAAATGCGTTGATAAAAAACAAGTTTGTAGGATGACTGCGGCAAATGGGTGGAGCACGTTTAATGTCAGTGAATAAAGACCCATGCGCCCCGGGTCGAAAAGAGTGCTTTGCATTAAGATCACGTCGCAGAAGGGTGATGTCTTATCTTGTCAGCGGACCCAGAGAAAGCATTTTTAGTTTTGCTGATCTCCGGTCACGAAACACGTAGCATAACCTGCTATGCTAATCTGACTGCGATAAATTGGCTACAACATGTGGTTTGGTGTACTCTTATTGTGATCCGCACACCTTGCCGGTTTGTGCGGCATATCAGCACCCAAAATGGATTATTTTGAGTTATGTTCACCTGTGGCTTACGACGTTGCATTTATCACAGGGAAATGAACTACGGTGTTTCGAATGATAAACTTTTTTTGCGTTGTATAAAGGTGATTTTTGACTTGTGGCAGCCAAAAGTAATAGGTTCGACCTTTGCGTACCAGTAGGCCACAACATAAAGACTATGCTCTTTTCTTGCTCGTTTGTCCCCAGAACATCAGCTACGCTGCGTCGATTGGTGTACGTTGAATTGTGACCCGATAAAAAGTTGTAAGTACAGTAACCCGAACGAGCGCAGTGAGATTAATTATAATCCTAGTCTGGGTCAAATGATCGTTCGTACCGAGTTGACCATTTCTCCCTATCCTTTCCTCGCGCTGTAACGTTTGGGCTTTGGCTAGGTTAGGGTGGTTGTCTGGAGGAGCCTTTTTCAATCTCTTCACGTTCGATGCGAAAGGTACAATAAAGAGGCACAGGAAAGGTATACGATACGTCATTTTAAGTGAGTCTGTTTCAAACAGCTTGTTTATTTACATCAGTGACCCTGACATCCCAGCAGAGTTTAGCCGTCGCATAGGCGGCAGCGTAATATCACAGGGGTGTTTTATTGATGCTGAAAAACATAGAACCAGATAAATCGATACCCACGAACTCCCCGCTTTTGGTCTGAGAACGCATTACCTGTGTGATTTGGTGTAGTATGGCTGTGTAGTATGGTGTAGTATGGCTGTGGCTGTGTTATGTTGTGGTTTGGTGTAGTATAGCTGTTAAAGATTCAAGTAGCTAACCAACACTATCCGAAACTCTGATTATACCGATACATTGCAAGGTAATAAGGCATGAAATGCACATCACAAAATCATTAAAAGTATCCTGGAAAGTTATCGTTTTGTCATCACTTTACCTGGACGGTCCAGGTCAGCTCAGTCAGGGATTGGCTGAAGCCAGTTGGACACTGGCAGGGGAATCGGAAGCTGCTCGGAACTCAGTCTGGCAATCCCACGGTGACGTCATCATGGGGATGTCCCAGGCCATTTACGTGTTGCAGGCATCACAGAACGGGTTTTCAACAATAGTTTTCCATTGCTTCTAAGCCGCTTGTTCCTATAGAATAAAACTCAAGACGTTTGATAATACGCCTACTTTCCATAGTCGGGTTCCAACCAACTGTGGCTGGTCACTGACTGCAACACCAGCCTGTCATTGGACCATGCTCTTCATCCAATAAGGGCGACTTTTTGCGCAAGTTGTTCAGTGCATTCGCGAGGAACATTATTCACATAGATAAAACGTTAGTGATGGCCTTATTCCTCGGAGAAAAACCAGGAGGGTGGAGAAATGGATTGGTTTACATTTCGGCAAACTGCCTTTATCGAAACAATAGCAGACGTGAATTCAAAGTTGCCTGCCGATGATCCTGCTCTATTTTGCAGGCTTTTTTGAAACAACAAGTCACAGTTTTTACAGGACACCAACATTTCGGTGATTAAACAAAGAGCGATTACCAGCCATTGCCATGATTCAGTGCATGCCTAAGAATTAAAATACGCCAAAATACGCGTGCATGCATACGAATTCAAGCAAAGGGGCATCACGTATCGCGCTTCATTCAAACATGCAAGAGAGTTGAAGTAAACAGGCGTCACAGACCGCGCATCAACGATACATGCAAACGATTTCAATTGAACAGGCATCGCACGTCACGCGTCAGACATCACCTACACATGTAAACGATTTTAAGCTGGTACACATCACACATAAAGGCACATACCACGGTCACATAATCGGCCATGATGAGCCCTGTACGTTAAGATTTGGCCACCTACTTTTTGTAACAATAGATCCACTTATTTTTCTGTCTGGGTGGTCTTGTGCTCTGTAGATGACTTTGAGCTCTAAAAGGGGCATAGGGCCCCATACCTCCCTCCATATTCCAGCCTGATATAGTGAACACCTACGAGGCGCTGAAAGCAAAACAGGGAATGCCCCTCTCGGTGACTATTTTTTGGCAAAGCACGCTCAGGCTGAAATCAAGGTTCAAAGTTAAACTGGATAGACGGGAAATGTTTCAGTGTGCAACCAATAAGAAGGCGACAGCGGATGTATTCAAGGTAAGAGGGGCACCAGGATTTGTCCTGGCCAAATGGGCCAGAAAGGCAAATACAATCTGATTTTACGTGGTGCCGGCAATAGGATTGTAGGGATCACTTTTGAGTATTTATTTTGGCTCTGAACTGAAAATAACCAACAAATTTTTAAGATCCTGATATCATTTTTGAGCTATTCCTTGCTTGCAGCGCCATAGACCTAAATATTTCGCGATCTTTGGCAAACGGAGCTACGTCCTCACGTCACAGTCTTGAGGTTACACCCGTGTAGGCTCCCAAACGCAAGCCTCAACGGCAGCCATGAGTTTGCAAATGGGGCTGGCGAGACATTGGTGTCTTATGAGCTTAGATAGATGTCTTAGATAGGTGTCTTATGAGCTTATATGGATGGACGTTCAGCTGGGGCAACGAGGGTTCTCCCAAGTTGAGGGGCAAACATCTATTTTTGGTTATTTGTGTTCTGTCAATGCCCAGAGGAACAGCGCCAAATGTTCAGAAAGTTGAAAGATCAATTTCCCGCTCTACCCCGCCCCCCCCCCCCTTCCTCCCCCTGTTGCAACGCTCCTGGCCTTCAGAAGCCCAGAAATCATGAACATTTCATACGAAGCTGCTCAAAATGTGCAAGCCGCTTGTAATGCTGACGACCTTAGCATTCTTGTGGCATTACCACATTCACCTGGGATTAAAATAATGACAGGGAAATGACAGTTGTAGATGGGAAGCAGAGTAAACTGGCTTCACAGGCCTAACAGGGTTTCGGGGCGGGGGGGGGGGGGGGCAATTGATCGATCCATCACATAACGCTGATAGCTGCAGGTGGTCAATTTCCAACAGCGTCAGGTTGCCTAGAGGAATAACAGCAGCACTAATAATTGGGAATAATTTTGATTTACGAACAGCTCCTATGCCATCACATGTTATTTGACGAGTGCTCTGGAAATGCCAAGTGAATGTTGATTGAGCGCAAGTTAATGACACGATGATCAATGGAATAGACATTAGAGGACCGCGGGGTAGATCACTGACGCTACCTTGAGGACAAGTGAGACCCCCAGGCGAAATCCCCGTGGAATCGAACAGGACCAACTCATCGAAGTACTGAGCCTGACCTGTTAACTGTTACTGTAACTAATGTGAGCTGTTTATGCCACTAGTTAAGATAAACCAATGGTGTGGCCAAACGACATGCTGTATTGCATTTTTTTTTCTGTAATCGTACCGTCATTAGGTACATAAGAGTAGCTTCATGTGTGGAGATCGTACTGGATACAGGGCACTGCAAAGGACATGCCTATCACCAATTACCATCACTGGCAGGGGTGTAGTTTCCCATTCAGTCGGGAAAGGAAGCCAGCCCCTCCAAACTGGTGTCCAGGCCCCCCTCCCTCAACTTGGTCTCAAGCCACCACCCAACTTTGGGAAGTAAGCGAACCGCACCAGGGAAGGCACCTACCTTTGGCGCTTTTTTTGGGGGGGAGGGGGTGAGCTGCGTCAATTCTTAATGCTCAGCCCCCTACCCACTCTCACTCGTTTGGCGCCCTACCACTGGACACTGATCCCGCACCAATAGCATTGCATTGATATTACTGTTAGATACAACGCATATGTTATGCTAGACTTGGGGAAGGGAGAGCGGAGGGAGGGGGACGAGTGCGTCATATCGAATTGCCTTTGTGGACTTTTCATGACAGGTCTAAATGTAACAATGGTGCATGGGTCTGAAAATATTATTGGGACAGCTACCTGGACGCAAATATTCGGGTGGAGGGATTTCGATTGACGTTGAGCTGATTTTTCATCAACTGATTTCGCAGTTGATGAGAAATCAACTGCGAAAAATGGCTATGTTGCCGGCAGAGCCAGCGCAACTTTGTTACGTCTACGGGACACCAGAACTATATCAATGACCACACAAAGTCACGTTTTTAGGCCACTGAGAATGCTATTCTACAAATTTGTGATCTCAGATTATGATGGTTCCTTTGCCTGAGGTGTGCTAACAAGGCATCATTGAAGTTTTATCATTGCTACAGTC